TTTGCTTCCAGGGAAAGCTCTGCCTTGATTTGATCTAGGACCCTTTCTGCCAGACCAGAGTATTCACACAGCTCTCCTCCAGCACCATGTTTGAAACACATCGATTTTCTCCCTGTCAGGTTTCTTCAGTGCCTGGGCCTCACACCCATACACTGTGATGGGGGATACAATCGTGTGGATGATCTTGGCCTTGGTCTCACCTGAAACATCCTGACACCTGGGGATATTTTCTAGTTCCTACTGAATTTCTTGGCCGCAGTCTCCATTCGAGTTGATGACTGAGCCTTCTCACTATCTTTACCATTGTCTGGGTCAGAACACGAGGAGGAGAAAGGCCAGGGGAGTCCTGCCAATGCCCCCCTGCTGAGACACGAACCTAGCAATGCCTCCCGTTGAGCCAGCCCTGTCTGCAACGTGCACAAAGCGCTTGCAAGGACCATTGTCCTCTTGTCTGTGTGATTCATTCATGGCCACCCTAGCAACTCCCTGCCTCACTTGCGGAGCAGGGTCCCAGTTTTATAGGAAAGATTACTCTGAGTAGTGTTGGGAAAATTTGGATGAATCCTGTCTGAAAAGCATTACTTCTGTTTTTTCCTTTTTTGCATTGTGGGATCAAATCCTGTACTCCTTCTCAAAACCAAGCAGTCACTGTTTCAAATGGCATTCATTCCCCCGCTCCTTTCTCTCACCTTTTGCTGTGGGCTACAGTAGACAGGCCATTCAGTCCAAATATATATTGTAAATAGTCATTGTTGGAATTCAGTTTACAAGGAAATATATTTTGATAGCCCAGAGGCTCCATGTGCCCTGGCCAATTCAGAATGTCTAGAGTCTAGATAGGAGTCTTGAGCTCATGCATAGTTTCAGTAGCTTGAATTTACATGTCTAAGCAGACCTGGAGATGGGTTCAAGCTACTGAACTAAAGTGTCCATACAGGCAATTAGAAATATTGTAATCTCATTGTTACTGTATGATTGACTGACATTTCTTTATCTGTTCTGTATGGGATGACCTCAGAATCTTATTGTAATCTCTGCATTCTGTCATCAATTGCCCTGTACCTGTATGTGACTGGGAGTGTATAAAAACTCTCTAGTTGTGTTGAAGCTTTGCAGCAGAGTTCACCTCTGCCTGCCCGGTAATGCAGCATGCATTATCGTGAGAGTACCGCGGGAACCTTGAGGTAAATACAATAAAGCCTCAGATGGTCTGGACGCTTGGTCTTTCCCACGAACCCGAGTTTTATTCCCTCTTCTCAAATTGAGATTCTGGGATTCTGACAGTAGCCACACCCGAAGCATTGGGCTCCTTTCTGTTTGTGGTGCCTACCAGTTTGCCATGTTTTCAAGTTATACTTGACATTAAAGGCTTGTGACGTCCTGACTAGGATGGAAAGTGAGCATAAGCCTTTCAGAAAAGACTTTACCACATGCTGAGATTCTTATTGACTGTATGATCAATGTTTACTTAACCCAAGAATGCTTCGCCCAACTCATTGAGTTTTCTATCCACTTTCTATGAGTTTTCTGTCAGTGTGGCGTGCCTGGGCAGAACCTCGGGCCTGTTGAAATTATTCAGAATTCTCTCTCTTTTGTTATGGAGACTAACTTTAACAAAGGCCAAGAAAAGGTTCAACTACTCCTAGAAGAAGACTAGAAGACTAGACCTACTTCCCCCACTTTCTCCCTGATTGCATCCTGGGGATGGCGGTGTGTGTCTGAGAAGTTGCTGTTACTCCTTAAGCAAGCTGGGTCTAATCAAGGCCCATGTAAAAGACTTCCCGGAAAGCATATTTAAAACTCATTTATGCCACCTTTAGCTCCTCCAAGGAAAAAAGATGGGAAAGCAAAATAATATCTACAGATATTTCCAGAGTCCAAATTCTAAGGGGAAAAGGGTGGGTCTCTGTTTATTGTTCTTTCAGTGAACAAAAAACACTTTTATTTAGCCAGGCCTTTGGCATGTAATTTGCTTAGCTGCTTTTTTTTGTTGGTTTTATTTATTTATTTAGGAGGCGCCTATGCCGCCCCATTCACCGAAGCCTCGGGGCGGCTCACACCCATAAATAAACTTCCATAGAATAATATAAATTAACAGTATAAATTAAGTCACCCTGGCCAAAGAATAGAATGAATAAATACTATTAACAATAGTATTGCAACCTAGATGTAACCTTTATTGCTACTACTTTACTTGTTGGGTAATATTTGTTCCTTTGTAATGTAGTGTTTTCAATTGATTTTTTTTATTGACTCTTATAAATGTGTATATGGAATTTAATAAGTAACCTGATAACTGATGTACAGGCAGGTCCAAGGTTACAAACAAGTTCCATTCCTGAAAAAAGGGAAATTAATCTTTAAGTAGAATTTGTATGTAAGTTGGATCCTTTATAGTCAGCCCTCCACATTTGCAGGGCTCAGGACCCCCATGAAAATGGAAAAAGCGCAAATATAAAATTATGTATTATTATTTTGTTTGCTTTTGAATTCAGGTCCATTTTGTCAGTCAATAAAAAATCAAGGAATAACCTGAATCCACAGGCATACTTACTGATTGCAATCAGAAAGAAAGTTCCACATTTTCACAAAATCATTAATGAAAAGCAGAAACAAAGAAGCCATTGAATTTTATGTTCACAATTGGGATTGATTTTACTGCTTGCATTTTTTTCTAATTGCTTAATTTATATTGGAATTTTATACACTGAGTTAATAGTTTCTTTGAGTTCAGTCTGTTCATCCACTGTACTGTATGTGGTTCAGTTTGTGGTTCAAAAATTAGAAATTTGATTTCTTCATCTTCAAATGTGATAAGACTTTTGTAGGATGTGTAAACATAAATCAAGCATTTTCTAGAGGTGTGGGGCATCGAGAAGGTTGGGAACCACTGCTTCATTATGAAGATGATTTTTTGCAGTAATTTTTTAAAATTAATAGGCTTTATGGCAGTGTGTTCATAAGTACAGGTTGTTCATAACTCAAATGTTCATAACTCAGGGCCTGCCTGTACTACAGATAGAATATAACCTAATAAAACAATGTATCAGGTTTATTCATTGTCTCTGTTCTGCAAAGAGTTGTTTTAATGAAGCCTGACTGAGACTTATTTGAACCACCGCAAGGCTATGTCTGTGTGGGGGTTCACATTCTTCAAAGGTGTCTTTTCATTGGGTTGCGTACAGATGCCGTCCTACTTAAAGGAAGCCCATTGAAATAGAGGAATCCAAGTTAGTCACTTAGATCGAGCTGAATTCGAGAAGGATGCAACCCTATGGCCTCCTAATGTTGCCTAGGCTGGCCCCAGGACGGGTAGGAGTCCTAGCTCTGAGCTCCTGTGATGCCAAGAGCTGAGTCCCCACCTGCCTCTCCGTGCAGTTGCTGCTGATAGAAGTGTGCCCGCTGCCTCCCCCGAGTGCCCCAGAGCAGAGAGAGGGACATGCGATGGGCACGAGGTGGAGAAGGCTGGGGTCAAGGATTTCTGCAGATTCCTATCAGTGCCCGGCCTCCTTCCCTCCCCTGCACGGGCCTTAATCTAGCCAGCTGAAACCAGCCACTGACATAAATGCAGGCTGCAAGGCACAGCAGAGACAGCTGTCACTGTACTGTATTGGAGGGTGCATGTAAGCCTAAGGGCAGAGGCAAAATCATGCACAATATCGATTAATGGGATCTCACCGGATCTAGGCAGACACACATCTCTTAGGATAGACTTGTCAGCTAAGGTTAATACGTTCAGGATGAATATTGTATATAGGATTGTTGCTCTTTTATGTTGGTTTCCTTAATTTATACATGGCAATTATTTTCAAAAATTTAACATTTTGTTTCACAAAGTTTCATGGAATTCCAACCCCCAGGGAATTTCCCTGGAAAGGTTTTTGCTTTCAGTTAAAGGAAGAGAGGTTGGCTGACCAGAGCTTGACTAACAGGGATTACTGTCTTTGTTTTTCTTATTATGGTCTATTCCACTTAGATTGCTCACCTTGGAAAGAGTTGCAATCCTGATGTCTGGATTCCCTCTCCTGAAGGAGGCCGCCCAGTCCTCAGCACACTAAAATAAATTGGGTATCTCCTACACTCAGTAGCTGGAGTGCTCCTCAATGTGGGCCTTCGACCCAGCATATTACTGAGGCTTCTTCAATTTTTCTGACAAGAGAATCTGTGGGTTCTTCACATGAGTTTTCTTTTCCAGGGGTTTCTCTCTCTGCCTTTCCATATGTTCCATGACACAGATAAGGCAGGGCTGCGGTATAGAGTGGGACTGCAAATTTGCACTGTGCTTTTCTAGTAAATCATAGTGACCTCCAAAAAAAACACTGCATCTCCCTCCTTCTCTCTCATGCACACACCCACAGAGAGAATGAGAGAGACTGCTGCAAAAATGGCTGTAAAACAGAGGAAAGGCTCTGAATGATGTTATATATAGCAACTGCAAACCCACCATACGTGAGAGATTGATCCCAAGTGCCATGAGTAGGAAAAAAACAAAAAGTATTGACTCCTTCCTTGCCAATTAGTTTGACCTACCGTATTTTTCACTCTATAAGACGCACTTTTCCCCCCTGAAAAGTAAGGGGAAATGTCTGTGTGTCTTATAGAGCGAATGTGTGTGTGCCCGACGCCCGGGAAGAGAGATGGACCGCTCACCCCCACCGCCCGGGAAGACCTGCCGCCGCCGCGCCACCCGGAAGACCACCACCGGCACGCTGCCTGCCCGGCTGCACCACGTGGCACCACCTGGCCAGCACGTGCTCGGCGCGCCCTGCTCCGCCCCCCCCTTCCAGTGCAGGTGAGAGCTGTGCCGCTCAGGGGGAGCGGTGCAGAGGAGGAGGAGGAGCCGCGGACTTTAACCCTCCGGCCGCACAGAGAGACGGACTGCTCACCCCCACTGCCTGAGAAGACCTGCCGCCGCTGCCGCGCCTTCCGGAAGAACACCGCCGGCACACTGCCGGCCCGGCTGCACCACACCTGGGCGGCACGCGCTCGGCATGCCCTGCTCCGCCCCCCCTCCTCCAGCACAGGTGAGAGCTGTTAATCACAGGTCGGTGTGTGTTTTCAAATGGCAACCCGTCTTTTAATGAAGCCCATGGGGAAGTGATGGGGAATGTGCCTGTGATTATCAGGAAGCTTTCCATGGATCCCTCCTCTAAAAACTAGGTGCGTCTTATGGTCAGGTGCGTCTTATAGAGCGAAAAATATGGTATTTTGTTACACTTGCCTGACTTTATGGGGAAATCCACCTTTAAACACTGATAACAAATAATCAGTTGTCAAAACAAACTGGCTGTTGGGAAATTTTGGATAAATCCTGTAATCTCTACATTCTGTCATCAACTGCCCTGTACCTCTTCTCAAATTGAGATTCCGGGATTCTGACAGAGAATGGTAAAATTTAGGTTTTGCATGCTAGGGCTGAATGGTAATCCTTGGAATGGCAACATTTGTTAGGATTGCTTTTAAAGCTTTGGAGTCTCATTTGCTGATGGAAGCATTGTTTCATATTAGCTCTGAATAAATATGATACACAGCATCTTAAATGCAAATAAAATAGGGACTTAGATTGTCCCGTTTTACCTTAATGATGGTACATTGTTTTTGCTCCTGTAGCAGAGGGGCCTATGGAGCTTAGACGACAGCCCAATCAGAAAAAAAATGTTTGCCTTCTACCAAGTACCGCATCTTTTTAATAAGTGGTTAAGTCAGATAATTGTGACCGTATACCTCTATTGCATTGCTTACCAACAGACTCTGGCAATGCCCAGTGGTTGCCTCTTTTTGGGATATGGTTATACTGCAATAACTTTCTTATTAGAATGCACTTCAATCGATTGCACTCTTTTTATTATTTAAACGCTATATGGAACTTATCACAAAGATAAATGTAAGTTGAATTTCCATGCCTCTTTGGCAGTGGAGGCTGATAGCACAACAATGGAAAGGCAAATGGCCACTTGCTATAACAATGGACCGAGGACCTAACTATCTTTCAGTATTGATAGCTATATTATCACATCCTTGTAGACACTTACGGACATGGGTTTCATATTTTCTTTGCTTTTTCATAGTTTTGTTTTGGTGAATTTTATATTAAAAAGTTAATTTTAAATGCTAAATTGAGTTCCACTGATTTTGATATTAAACCTGGATGCAGACAATAAGGAAAAATCCTTTGAGTTGAGCAGTGTAAGGATCTTGGACTGTGAGAACGTGCCATTTTCTGGCAGCGTATGCACTAGGAGACTGGACATTGCTCACCGCTGGCCTAATGCATCCCCCATCACTTTGGTGCAAGTGACCAGCTGGAAGTAGTGTCCTCAGTGTGTTTGTAGTATGTCACCCATGTTACATACAATCCAAATAAATACTGAACAGAAATTCAAATGCTGCAAAATGTTTTATTTCATCTAGTCTAATACTGCACAGATTGTCATTATTTCCTCATGAGACACCTCATCATTTGGTTCTTCATTGTGCTTATGTGAATTCAGTCTGGAATGTGTTCTACTCAGGCACAATTCAGAAGAAAATCTTCAATGCTTCTGCTAAAGTTTTCTCATCAGTTGGTGGTTTTCTCTGACTCCCAGGCTGCAGAAATTTTTTAATTGTTGGTATGTTGCTCATCCTTGCTTTAAATGCCTAAAAAATGGAGAGACATTTTAAAATGAAACCATAATTTTTATAAGAAGAAAAAATGGCATACCTGAATACTCATGTGTCATCCACATGAGGCAAGGATATTACAATAGCAACCAATAATGAAACCCTTTGTGAAAGGAAAAAAGCTCACCCACCTAAAAACACATTCAAATAATGCTTCTGTGAAGACAGAGATCACCATTTGAACTATGTTGTAAGCTTGTAATCATAAGTAGATAACCACATAGTTAATCTACTACTGCTATATCCATGTTTTAGAGCCTCAGGTGCATTTTAGCTATTGTGCCATTGACTTTCAAGTCACTGTTAAGAGTCAGTAGTGTGATAACGCAAAACACGACAGTATCCAGTGGTGACAAATGGCACTAGCAGAGCTGTGCCAAATCAGCGACACCTGGAAGTGCAGGCTGTGCTTTCACAACCTGCTCTGCAGCTGGTTGTGCAATGGGTTACATAGATGCAACGCACAACCAGTTCTGCAAATGCTTATGCAACCAAAGTTAGATCTGTGCAAATGTAATTTTGGCTGGAGATTCCTCTTATGTATACTTCAGAACCTGCTTTCTGCTAGCAGAAGATGAACTAGAATACTGTCCACAAAGTGATAGACAGCTCATGCATAATGTATTCAGAAGGTGATGTTCAGTCCCTTGCACAATGCCCCGTAAGTTAGCAGGACATGGCAACCCGTGCATAAGTTACCAAGTTGCAATCTCCACTGCTGACGGCCCCTTCAGAGTGCCCAAGTGGATGTGTGCCCAAGTTGACCCTCCATAAAGATGCTCCAGTGTCCTGCTTGGGCACTTGGAGGGTCTGTCAGTGGCTGTCACCACACAAGCAAAGGGGGAAAAGGAGGTAACAAATAGGGCCATGGCCAAAAAAGAGTCAGAAGCAGAATAAGAAGAGAAGAAGCCAGAGATGGTCGTTCCAAAGTGCTGCTTCGGTATAGCTGCCACTGGAGGTGGCTTGGGCAAGCTCAAAAAGGCAGCAAACTGAGCAGCAGCTCGCTCACTGCTTCCTGCAGTCCATGGTGGGGTCAGTCCTCTCCATTCAAATGTCATGCCAGCCCATCATGGACTGAACAACCCTTCAACAAGCCATACGTTCTCAGGGTAGCAAATCACCCACCATAATGGGCTGCACTGTCATAAAATCCCAGTCAATATCTCCTCCTGTCTCACTAAAATTCAGCAGAAAATTGCTACAAGCTAACTGAGCCTTTCTAATACTCCACAGTGGTTTGCTACCAAATTTTGGGGGCAGATTGCCAATGCTTTTGCTTCTGCCATACCACTAAGTTCAGCAATCCAATGTGGGGACCACAAAAGAGGACTGGGAATTCATGCAGCCCTTACATTGTGCATCTAACAAGAACTTTTTTGGATCTAGTGAGTTTTATTATTATCATGGGATCTTCTCCCATTTAAGGACTTGCCAAGAATCGTAGCTTACCTTTAAAAGAGGGAATTTGGAGAGAATATCATCCTTCAGCTCTTCTGCCATTAAAATGGTTTCAAGCAATTGCACATCAGCCCTGCTCAACTGGTTTCCAACCAGAAAGTCTTGTCCGTGATCTTTGAGGACCTACGAAGCAGAACATGCAAAATTATGGAGATACATTTAGAGCCCTTCTAAAAGTCACCCACCTGGAGGACAGAGCATCAGTACATGGAGATGTAGGAGCTTGACAAGCTATTTCTCCAGTTCGGTCACAATGAAATTGCCAAGTGAGCAGGCCAGAACAGGGAATATCAGGACATTCCCAGTCTATACCTAGAGAATGCATGGAGCTTCTCGCAGGAGAGCACACTCCCTGCTGCAGAGCATCAAGGGCAAGCAAAGTCCAGCCCTTGTCAACAGAGTTTCACTGACGAGAACCTGCCCCTCCTCCTCCCCATGGCAGGTTTAGAAGGTTCTGCTAGTTCCCCTGCCTCTTGTTCTAACCCAGACAGTGATGCAAGGAGGAACAGTCGACGCCATCGCTCGCTTGCTCCCTGGACCTCTGTGTGTCATGCAAGAAGGAATGGTAGGGATAAGATGGAGGAGCAGCAGCAAAGCAGCAGGTGACAGTGGCAGTGAGGCAGGAGCTTAGAGCCTATAGAGGGCACAGTGTCAGAAATGTTGGGGGCTGGCTAAAGAGTGCCTCCTGCCACTCTTCTTTCCTCCTTGGTAATATCCAGACAGATGGGGTGACCTCCAGACAGGACTCTTGTACAGCTATTGTGCTGTTTGCTCAAACAGGGAGTGTTTACTGCAAATCATATGCACTTCCATGAAAAGTTTAAAATATTGGTTCACTAAATAAGAACAGCAAGCAAGGAGGGTGTTGCTTCCTTTGTACACAGTGTTTTGCAGCTACTGTTCTCACTGATACTTTAGCTTTTCCTAAGAAGGAAAACTCCAGAACAAAAGTCAAGGTTGTCAGGTTACTTTGGCATCTCAGGTAGCAACTTTCCAAAGCACGTCTTGCACACACTGACTGTAAAAATATAATGGTAAGTTAAATTACTGTTTGTTGCCATGTTGGCATACTGAGATTTAAGAAAAGAGTAGGCCACATCAGTTTTATTTCAGAAAAAGATGTGCTCTCAGTTTCATTTGTCAGGAAAGCCCAGGAGTAAAGGAGATGACTTCAGGTGGATCAAAGACTAGCCATTACACATTTCGAGCAGAAATTGACCACAGGCCATCTGATCATGGCTGTACATGTAGCACTGTTTTGGCCTCATACCTTTTCAAAGACTGGGAAATATCTGTTTGTGGCTTTTTCAAGGATCGTTGCCAGCTCCTTCTCTTTTGCGTCAGCTGGTTTGAGCACCAGCATCATCATCATCTCATTCAGGTCCATAATCCCTTCACAGTACATATCAATGCTGAAAAGAAGATACATTTCCGTAACTCTGGAGAGCCAAATGGCATGTAGCACTCTGTAAAATCTGACATGCACAGACTGTGGAGTAGGAAAGTTCTTTCATTTATTAGAGGAGTGTTCCTTCCTCTAAGATATTGTGAACTGAATACACAGAACAACATGTATCACCATCCTAAGATTTGCATAGATTCTTCAACTGTTTAAGACACTTCACATATTAGTCTCACATACAGAACCATGACAACAACCATGCAAAGTAGGTCATCATGGGACAACGCCAGCATTGCGCAGGGCGACTTCTGCTGTGCGGCAAGACATTCCTCTACCCTCCTCCTCTTTCCAGCCTCTTGCATGCCCTCATCTCTCCTCCAAAGTTTCCCCCATCCCTCTGGATTGGGGCGATACGAGGAGGATACAGGATCCATTCTGCCTGGGCTACTGTGCCACTGCCAGATGACTGAAGTTCACTGCAGTGCGATTAGCTACTGCTCCTCCGTTAAAGTACAGCAGAGCTGCATCTTGAACTGAGCCACACGTCCCTGTAATGGGCCACAATCCCTAAATGTGCATAGGCCTCATTTATACAGTGCTTTCCAGACCAGCACTCCTTTCCGGGAATATTTTGCCAGTCTTGTAGTGCCAACCCTTTGAGAAATCAAATATCAGATGAAGAAATAATTGTGAAGGGAAATTGTACTGTGATCTCATAGGCATTATCTGACACATGTGCATGAAATGTGGGATACCCCACAGAAAAACAGGTAATCCTGTCAGTGGGAAAGGGCCTTTTTCCTTGGAAACAGTGATTTCTCTCTTAACAGAGGTAAAGTATTTCCTGATTCCTAGAAGTAACGGATCAGCAAAACTAAGTCTTATCTGCATGAATAGACATAGAACAGAAATCCTATATATGTCTACTCAAATTAAGCCACTTATTTCCTGGGAAGCATGTATAGGATTGCAGACTTTTGTGGCTATATTTTTCTTTCAGTGAAGAATAATCTCCGAGTTAAAATCTACACAAAAACATGAAGTTCATTCATGTACCATGAGAGACAAAAGAAATGGTAATGGGACATTAAGCACCTGTAAACAAATTTGTAAACAAATTAAGTCACAGACTAGAGTCACAGTGACTTCTGCTGAACAAATTCACATGAATTCTTTGTGACTGAGTAAACATTGCCCCACCTTGCACTTTTTTGACCTAGCTCCCGTGCAAGTTGAAATGTGCTGACTCACAATGCGTCAGTAGATCATCTGGAGATTTTTTTTTCTCCCGTGATGTATAGCAACTATGATGTATAGCAAACAGAAGCATGCGTTTAATCACAAGACTTGGAAAATGTTACAGTACTATGTCCTCTGCTTGGAGTCCTTCCCATAGAGATTGTATTTTGCTGAGATGTAGTTGAGAATGGCTCTTGTCTGCACCATCTTGATCCCATCGATCTCCACCATGGGCACTTGCTGAAAGAGCAGGTATCCATCTTGTGGAAGGAAAATGAATTTATTTATCCATCTATTTACTTTCTCACACTCCACAGAAGGGAGTTTTAAGCAACATTGCACAAGACATGCTTTGAATTCGAATCCCTTCTTATACATTGTGGTTTTGAGATGCCTTTGTATTTCTGTCCCCAGATCAAATGACAAGGGACATTTTTTCAGAAATTTAATAAATGTATATAGTGAATACATATGACAAATCCATGTTGTTTAAATACATATTTAAAGTTTTAAACAGACACGTTCCACAGAATGTGAATAAAACAAGAATTTCCCATAGGAAATACATAGTTGAATGTTGTGTGTGTGAAGGATTTTGTGCTCTAAAAATGTGCATTCACAGAAAAACAAACAAGCAAAAATAATTCTGAGTCCTATATACAGATTCTCACAATCCCCGAAACAGACATTTTAAACATCTTAATGTCATACTCACCCTTCCTTAACTTTTCTAGGTCTTCCTTTTTTTGAATGAATGCTTCTTCAAACTAGCAAACAAAAAGAATTCAAGGACATCAAGAAATAGTTGCGCACTCCAAAGATATCATGAGAGTTTCCATTTCCAAGGCTTGGAAGAGTCATAATGAAAAGCTCCTAATGAATCTCCCCTTTCATCTGTTGTGGGAGTCTTCAGGAAGGGAGGACACCAAATAGAGTGGTGGAGACAATGTGCCCACTGAGGATGTTTTATTTTTTTAATTGTTTCATTTACTTTAAATTGTTTTTACCAACTGTAATTTTAAACTACCTAGAGAATCCTATGGGCTAATGTGGCAGTATGGAAATGAATTAAACAAATATATAAATTGAGCAGGAAAGGGGGATTGTGCTGGGTCACACGTTAACCAACCAACAAATTGCAAACTGTGTCAAATCTAAGATATAAAATAGCTGTGTTCTGATTAAGTATATTTCCCTGCTCCCCAGATTAAGCCTGGCTAAGCTATTTTGACACCCAAGGCAGAAAATCCAACTGCCTCTTCCTGTGAGTAAAAGCCCAAGAAATTTATTGCTACATTTCTATCCCACATTTCCTCAAAGGAGCCCAAGGCAAGGTACATGGTCCTCCTGCCTCCATTTTATCCTCACGGCAACCCAGTGAGCGAATCTGGGCTGAGAGACGGTGACGAACCCAATGGCACTGAGTGTGGATCAGAATCTGGGTCTTCCTAGTCCAACGTTCTGCCCACAGGGGGTCTCCTTAAGGAACAAACCATTGGCTGGTAACAGCCAGGCTCAGTGGCCAGAGGCAGCTGCCTCAGTCCACCTAATGGGGAGCCCAGCCCCTGAAGCAGAGGTCAAACAAAGCACAGGGATGTCAGTATGGCATTGTAACCTCCTTCTCCATACCTGAGCTATAGGGATGTATCCACACATCAAACTAAACCACCCCTTCAAATGGATTTGCAAGTATATATAATTGATTAGACAAATGCTGACAACAAACCTCTACTCCTGCAGCAGCCAAAAGCCATCTTATGGTTTCCATTCGGCCTCTTCCATTGAAGTAGTGAAGCTTTGGTTTTCCAGACATGTTTTCAAGTGCTCGAATTCCTCTTACGAAGAAGCAAGATTATTTCTGAGAGAGACAAGATGTGGAAGAACAACTATAGCTGAAGTACTGTTTTCTAAAATGTTCCTTTATATTGCTTTTGGAAGGAAATGATTTTTTAAATTATTATTAACAACATTTTTATTCTGCCTTTTTCTCTTAGGAAAGACCAAAGGTGGCCTATATAGACTTCTTCCTCTCCATTTTATCCCCACAACCACCCTGTGAGGTAAATTAGCCTGAATTAAGTGACTAGCTAAAATCAGCAGTGAACTTCATGGTGGAGTGAAGAACTTGAACCCAGATCTTCAGGCTCCCAGCCCAGCACTCAATCTATATCTCACTAGCTCCTGTTAAAAATTCCACCTACCTCCTTTTGATAATGATGAGGCATAGTACACAGAAAAAGTATTAATGAAAATGAAGTGCCAAAATGGACCTGGTTTGTAGAGCAACACAGGGTCCCATGTCACATGCCTCTTCTCTTGACATGATTTCTGTCACCTTGCAAGGATGCTCTCTTCCCTCAAGTCATGTACCTCAATCTCTATCATCTGCAAAGTTCCCGTTTAACACAACAATTTTAGAGATTTTCCTTGTCTCCCACTTCTTAAGATGTGAATTCTGATCTGCCCTTTATGTTATTGCTATGTTGCAGGGACAAAACAAAGATCAAACTAACGGTGGGGCGGGGAGGCATTGAGGATAGGTGCACCCCCGCCCCCCCAATCCAGAACAGAAAGCTACTGAGGTCATGGTGGGCTTTCGTGATTGCACTGTAAAACTAGAAAATCCAACAAAACAAGAAGGCTCTAGACACGTATTAAAATAATATCCATTTTAGCCCGCCAACAGCCTTGGTTACACTTATTTATTTTTGTTATATATCTATCGGTGTGCGATCCTCCGCAGTTTGCCCACTTCCCCCGTCTCCTGCTTTAGGTTCTTTGCAGGCAGCAATAGATTCTGCACGCAAGATCACAGGGCAAAGATCCTGCCGGCCTTAAGTGCTCAATAGGTTAGGTGAAGAACGGTGCGCAGAGCTTGGGGGCATTCTGCAAGCTCGATTCCGGAGCAAAGGGGGCAGATGCCTCCCACAGCAGGCAATTTACACACACTGCAGCTTTAAAATAATAGCAGCAGCAGCAACAATTTGCCTGTTGAAGAGCAACTGCCCTCTGCGTCCCCGCCAGATCGGGGGCTGGCATTCTGGAAGCGTCCTCACCATCCTTCCTCACAAAAGTATTTTACTCTCCTGGGGCTAATCGGCGGCCCTGTCTACTGACCTGCTGAAACTCTGGAAGAGCCAGTTCTTCTCCAGCATGAGGCGGACTGGCGCGGCCTCCAGCTATAAAAAGGGCGAGGCCCCGCCCTCCAAGAGGAGAGAACAAGCCTCCCGAAGGGGAAAAAAAATCTCTGCAACGGGCGGAGGGGGCCCAGTCCTGCTCCGATCTGATTCTGCGACTCAGCCGCCTTTCAGGTTGGCGCACAGTGGGGAAGGGTTAGGGTTAGGGTTAGGGCTCCGGGCGGGCAACTCAGCCAATTGAGCCCTTTCCCCCAACACCTGCTGCAACTGGCCAGCTTGTATCCCTTGACTCACTTTTTAAGAAAGGCCCTTGTCTGCACCGTCGGGCAATGCAGAATCTAATTTGCAGCGGCGGATCGTAGCTTTGCTCCAGGGTGCCCCCGTCAGAGCGAGCTTTTTGCGTGAAGCTGCCTCGCGTCTGCTTGCTCTCACCGCTCCCCTGCTTTGACTTCGCGGTTTGATTGTGCAAGTCGCACGGCCGCGGCTGCCCATCGAAGTACTTCTTCACGGTCAGCATTTCCTCTTCGTCTGCACCCCCGCAGCCTTCTCGCCACTAAAATTTGCTGTAAGGTTTACCTAACCATTTTTACCATTTTGCTTACCCATTATAAAAACTGCCAGAAAAGGGCAAAGATTTATGTCGCCAGGCCACAGAGAGAGAGAGAGAGAGAGAGAGAGAGAGAGAGAGAGAGAGAGAGAGAGAGGCGGGTCATCCGTGTCACACTCGCACGCCACAGGACACAAAGCAGCAGCGCTGTCCATGTCGTCCCCCTGACTGCCTCTCCATGCCTTCCTTCTCTCTGCTTGAGCCCCTTCTATAGCAAGTGGGCACGGAGAAGCCAGGCTAGGTTCAGTCGGGGTTTACCTCTGAACATGTGCAAAGAGCCATTTCAGCTTGTCCAAGGAGTAGGGAAAATCCATCTTTTACCAGTTACAGCAAAAGTCTCTGACAAACCAAGATTATATTCCTAGGAGTGGGCCTTCATGGGTTTAATAGAGAGGCTTGCCGAGGTAAATAGTTGAGCAGACAACTATGCAAAGTTTCATTATGGAGTCAGTTGTTCAAAAGAACTAGGTTGAGGTATGACAGTCTTTCTCAAACCCCCTCCCCTCTTTTCCTTTGAGCTGCGTGGGGCAGGAAAGGGATTCAAATTTGAACAAACCACCTGCATACCAGCCAAACAAGGTTCTGGAGAGGCATTGCTTCCTGGCAAACTCCAACTACATTATAATAACCCCCACAAAAAAAAGTGCAAGTAAAAAATAGAACATCATATGATCCCAGCTGAACATCTTATGATCCCAGATATGTATGCACACTCATGCACAGAGAATTCCTTGTTCTCCTAGTAACTGAATGAAACTTAGGAAGAAACTGATATAAAGGAGACTAATATCTAACTTGTAAGTCACCTTGAATCTTTTTCTGAAAAAAGACATCTAATAATTTTTTTAAAAAATAATTTTGTGTTGTGCGAACTACCTATTTATTAAGGAAATACAAGAATAAGTTCCATCTGTGGGATTTACATCTGAGTAGAAATGTGTGCAATGGTCATATGATAAGCAATTATTACCTTTCAGAGGTGGACTTGGTTGATCTGCTCAATTTTATTTTTCCCAATAAATACTTATAATCTGTCCAAATATTAATCTCCACCCAACTAGGGGCCTCCAGATGTTTTGTACTACAGCACCCAGCATTCGTAACCATTGGTCATGCAGTCTGGCACTGATGAGAATTGAACTACAAAACTTTTGGTGAGTACTGCATTGGAGAAGGCCAGGATGAGAAGATAATACATTCTTGCTTGACAGACCCTTGTTCCACAATTTTCCCTGTTTCATTGTGAATGTGGTACTCGTCTGACAATGCAGAATGTGAAAGTGTGCATCTGTTGTGAGAACAGCAGCAGGCCCATAGGAGCTAGAGCCTTAAGCTATTTCCCTGGCACAGAATGCCGGAAAGAAGGCCCCTGTGCCACTATTTTTGGGTGTGCAAGTGAGAGTTGAAAAAACAGTGTGTGCCTTGGTAGGTGCTTGGTGCCACTGAATTGCTTCAATGACACACCCTGGGTTCAAAAGAGAAATCAGCTTAAAAAGCCTCACCCTTTCTGCTTGTCATTTTGCCAGTTCATTTTGCAATAATGCTAGGTGTCTTCAAACATAGTTATTTCACAGTTGCATGAGAAAGCTTTTGTCCTCCAGAAAACAAGCAAACATAAACCAAAGCATACACAAGTAAGGAAGATATGCTGCCAAATTCTCAGCTAGATTATACATAGAAATGAACATTGATGGAAATGAACATTGATATCTGCTGTCAAAGAGTAGTGGTTCTAATGCTCCAGTCCAGGCAGTGCACCTCCACAATGAGTAATGTTTTTCCAGAACAACATGTTTCTTTGCCTTTTGTGTGAGTGACTTTTTACCTACAACACACCCGTGTTTCAAGTTAATCCATAGTGCAAAAGGCTCTCTTGCCAGCATGACATGATGCAACTCAGTTTCATGGGAGCCCTTTCAGCTGCATGTAGGGCAAATGTTTTCAGCGTAATCAACCCGGAAATCTCCTTTTATCAGGTGGCCAGTGCCTACTGCACGTGCACCCCAATTGGCGAGGAGTGCCTTTTTGTTTGGCTATGATTATCCTCACCTCCGGCTACTGAAGCAAGTGTCTTCAAAGAAATGATGCATGGGGAGAGACACGTGGCTCAGGGAGAACACGTTTTATAAAAAGGACCCTGGTGGACTTCCCTGCTAGTGGCAGCAAGCACCAGTGGCAGTAACGTTGCTCCGATCAACCACCGGGATCTAAATCCAAGCCGTGGGTTGAATCCAACCCTGTCTATCTGCCAGTGGAACAGAGTTTCCCCTGGAGCGAGATGAACCAATAACTCCAGTTACCTCACCCTGGTGTAAAGTATAAATGAATACATAAGCTTGCCATTTAAAACTTTATAATTTAATGCAAGGCATCAATGCCTTTTAAAATAGCATAATGTCAAAAAAGAGCAATATTGATATGCCATATTGTCATTCATTTTAATCCTAGGTGAGAGTACTTTCATTTCATTGCCCACTGACTTGTAATATTTGCATTATGACAAACCATCCTGATACTATTCTTAATTCATCTTCAAAACGTTCAGCACAAGTTGTACATATGCATCATCGGGAGGTGGTTTCCTTTGGCTTCCAGGCTGCAGGAACTTCTTAATGGTGGGAAGGTTGCTTATTCTTGCTTTGAAAGCCTACAATATAAAAGTTAAAATATCATTGAGAAGTGGCAGAATTGGGGGGTTTGTCTAGTTTAACATCTTTTTAAATGTGGATTTTTATTTTTAAATTCAGTTTAAAGAGCATTTTAGAAAGGAACTGTCCTCAGATAAGCCAGCCAGCAAAACATGAGGCTTTTTTATCATGTGAAAAATAGCTACCTTGTGGTATGTGTAAAGTGGGCTTGCTGCTTCCTTGTGGCTGAATTTCACCTGGTAACATTAATATTCAAACTCAGTAATCAGGTGGGACGGACAAACCACATGAGACCTTCCCGCACTATCAGAATCGAATCTGTTTTAGTGTGAGTGGGCCTGATTCATCAGAACCACACCACGAGTAAGGCTTCCCCACCCCTCTGGATGGAGATGCTTTCAGTGGCATAAAAAGCTGTCACTTCCTTTGCGTTGCACAGGGCTCCCCCTTGTGGTAGCTCCAAGCATTGCTGCAGTAAGCCGTGGCACTTCATCACGGTTGCAGCAGCCTACCTAATGGAAAGGTGGATGAGTAGAAAGGACTAAGCTAAGCTAAGCTAAGCTAAAATGGCAGGCTGCTATCCCTCCACTCTCTAGTAGTGCTTCATCAATTGCAACAGTAGCATCATCATAAGTGACTGAAAGTAATAGAAGCAGGAAGGCAACCAGGAAGGCAAGTTAGGCAGGTCTGTCTAGTTTAAGGTTAATATCAGTTGAACACTGTGAGTCTGAGTGGTTTAATCTCTCTGTCTGAATGAGCGCACTCTCACATATGGGAGTGGGGTCCACATGATGAAGCCCTCTCATAGGTTACCTGTAGTTGGGGGAACTCAGCAAGAACATCAGCTTTTTTCTCCTCCACCATTAAAATGGCTTCAAGTAGCTGCACGTCTGCCCTGCTGAGGCAACTGCCAACAAGAAACTCTTGTCCATGTTGTTTCAGAGCCTAAAACAGCAGGAAAGCTATTGAGGTGGGTACAAATGCACAGTGAATAAATTCCAGGAAAGCAGATAAAATCTCTTCCCTTTAGCTGCTAGTGGCATTTTTCTTAGGGTGTGATTGCACACATGTTCAGAGAGAAAAATGAATTCTGCAGCACCTACCATGGCTGGTCTGGCAGCTGAATCTTTCTTCGACACTAGCAATGGTACAGCATCCTCCCCAACAGGCTGGCTTAGGGGCTCAGGAGAGGCTTCTTTTTCTCTTCCAACATGTTGCTGCTACTGCCAGCATCTGCCACCTGAAGCAACTACCTTACCCTACCTGGAGGGCATGGAGCCATTGACCCGGCAGCACAGTCAGTCCTCATTCTGCTGTTTCTGCTGTCTCCCTCATTCCTTTGATTTTTTTTTTTTTTTTTTTACTTCTGCAAACCTTGGAGGTTCTCCTGGGCATGCTGAGACCTCCCTTATGAATGTGGGTGGTGGCACTCTGGTTATATAAATACTGGCACCAGGAGAGTTGAAATCTCTGCAAGCATCCAAGCAGGTGAGGTTGTATCCAGCAGAATGGTCATAATTCAGATTTTAGGTGCCCTGCTTGCTTAGATCTGAATTCCTGAAGGGATTCCCCAGAGTTACACTGCCTCCTTCCCCAGTGATTCAGTACGTATAGCAATGACATTTTAAAAGTCCGTAACTGATTTGGTAACAAAGTGAGGTAAGCCACCAAAGGGGGACTTGGCAGTGGGAGTGACAGTCTGGGTACTGTTGAGTGGGATGCCCTGTCCAGGTGAAGAAGCGTGACAAGATAAAGTCCTGTCATTCTCTATGCATTGTATGCATGTTTAGACAGAAATAAAGTCTTACAACTCCCAGCAGGCCTCAGCTTGCCCTGGGACACCCTGTGAGTTGTAGAGCTATTTTCCATCTAAGCTTTCATAGCATTGCACCTGTTACAAACTAATATAAACATTCTTCCTTTTATAAAGCTGTTCTAAGACCTGTGCCATTTGTCCAAAGGAATGTATAATTGCTAATAGAAGAACTCGTTTGGCAACGTACCTTCTCATAGACGGGAAAGTACCTGGTTGTGACCTTCTCAATAAATGAAGCCAGTTGCTTTTCCTTCTGCTCAGGCGGAGAGAATGGATAGAGCAGAATAAGTTCCATCAAGTCCATCACCCCTTCCACATACATGTTAATTCTGTGCAGGTGAGGAGTGAAAAAGCCAATGTTAAATGGGTACTTAATGGGAAAAGATACAGCTTTTTTTTTTTAAACAAAACTAGCTTAGCTGGAATCAGCCTTTGAACTACAAAAAAAGAAGTCTAATAGAGAGAGATAATTCATAAGGGAGCCAGGTCTTTCCAATTCCTTTTCCAATATCTTGAATCTGGAGTCTTGTTCCCTACTAAAGCACCAACTTTGGCTTATCATCCACTGAGCTTCTCAGTGTTTGGTGCAAATACTGCTTCTTATCATTTGTCCAAGTTACATAAGCATTCCCTGGGACTTCTCTGCCCCAACAGAGTAATCCAGCTATGCCCCAAGGAGGGGATAATAATAACCTAGAGCCACTCCTGTGCTGGCACTAAAGTGGGCTTATCCTTGAGGCACTGACTTATCACAGCACACATATCGTTTAGTCTTCAGACCGAGCTGTTCCAGTTCCACTGGGATTTTGTGCCTCGTACAGCACTGCACAGAAGAAGAGTACCCATGCTTTCATGTTGTTGTTGTTGCATGCTGCCAAATTATCTCTGATTTCTGGCTACCCTAGGAATGACCCCCGTCCAAAGTGTCTGGCCCTTCAGAGCCCTGCTCAGCTCTTATAAACTCAAGGCTGTGGCTTCCTTTATGGAATGCATTCATCTCTCACTTGGTCTTCCTCTTCTTCTACTTCAGCTTTCCCTAGCATTATTTAATACTATAAAATCTGTCCACATAATGCCCAAGGGAGTCATCAGTAGTCACTGATTTACTAGGACCTGTGTCTCCAATGTGGTGCCCATGGGCACAAATATACTGATAGTCCTTCCTCTTGGTACCTTGCAGATTCCTCCTGATCTTTACTATATGAAGATTTGTTTTTGTTTTTTTTTTTAATCACTGAGAGTCAGGAATGCTGCAAAGTGGAGTGTTGTGCTCTAGCACCATCTTCATTTGGTTTGTGGTTGATGGTTTGTTATTGGAACTTGTACTTTGGAGCTTCTACAGTGTCCTGCCTGTCTCATCCAGAGAAAGGCAAACCTGTCCCTGCTGCCCCTGCCTGAAAAGTGGATAATACTTCCCCGTAGGGTGTATCACAGAATGTGAATGTGTGGCACGGATGACCAAGAACATTCACATGCATGTACTGTTTTGGACACCAACTTAGAACTCAGAATATTCCAGGATCTCTGTGACAGTTTTCATGCACAGCCGGGGCGTATTTGTGTGCCTTTGCAAATGCTGTAATGCTATGAATAGATGTCCCAAGTACAGTAAATAAACCATGATGCAGTACTGTGCTCTTTCTTTCAGGTCCTTCCCACAGAGGTTATATTTCTCTGCTATGTAGTTGAGAATGGCCTTGGTCTGCACCAACTTCAGCCCATCCATCTCCACCAATGGGACTTGGTCGAACAGCAAGTATCCATCTTCAGGAAAGCAAAGCAAAACATGAGTATTAATCAGTTGTATAGCATGCTATGTTCATTTGTAGGGTAAAGGTGTCAGAGTCCCGGAATCTCAATTTGAGAAGAGGGAATAAAACTCGGGTTCGTGGGAAAGACCAAGCGTCCAGACCATCTGAGGCTTTATTGTATTTACCCCAAGGTTCCCGCGGTACTCACGATATGCATGCATTACTGGGCAGGCAGAGGTGAACTCTGCTGCAAAGCTTCAACACAACTAGGGAGTTTTTATACACTCCCAGTCACATACAGGTACAGGGCAATTGATGACAGAATGCAGAGATTACAATAAGATTCTGAGATCATCACATACAGAACAGATAAAGGAATGTCAGTCAATCACACAGTAACAATGAGATTACAATATTTCTAATTGCCTGCATTGACACTTTAGTTCAATAGCTTGAACCCATCTCCAGGTCTGCTTAGACATGTAAATTCAAGCTACTGAAACTATGCATGAACTCAAGACTCTTATCTAGACTCTAGACATTCTGAATTGGCCAGGGCACATGGAGCCTCTGGGCTATCCAAAGATACTTCCTTGTAAACTGAATTCCAACAATGACTATTTACAATGTATTTTTGGACTGAATGGCCTGTCTACTGTAGCCCACAGCAAAAGGTGAGACAAAGGAGCGGGGGAATGAATGCCATTTTAAACAGTGATAACTTGGTTTTGAGAAGGAAGACAGGATTTGATCTCACAAGGCACACAGAAGTAATGCTTTTCAGACAGCATCTATCCAAATTTTCCCAACAAAGGCAATGGTGTAAATTCAGCCATAGTTACCTACATTTAAGTTAGCAACTGGCCTTATCTTCTGCCAGAAGGCAAGTAGCCAGGCTAAATTTCACCAATTAGCAAATGTACTATCATTAAAACTGAAAATGAATTTTAAGCTGTGCATCTCACATCTATTACAAATAGACTTCAAGTGTCAGAACGGCTTTTTTATTATGAATAATTAGGGCAGTGCTTTTCATGTCCACACTGTTTCACAATGCGTACGTTATTAATCTTCATTCCTCTCTAATTGTTAAGAAACCATTGGTATTACTCAAAACTATTCAATGGCTGCATTCACACATAAGGATAAACCAGCGTTACTGACTTATCCTTGTGAATAAGGAGCATTGGCACACCCCACCCACTTCTTTCCTGCTCTTACTTTCACACAAGTGGATAGAGCCAAGATGCTCAGTTGGTTCATGAACCCTGGCTTTCAGGATGAATCATCCCTCACAGCTCATTTTACATGCTCATGCAAACTGGAAAAGCAAGGTGGAGTGAGAAATGGTGGCTTATTATTATGCGCAAGTAATTGGTAGGACCTGAACCAAACATATAATTCAGTGTATGGCCTTTAATGCCCTGCTAACTCTCCCAGAGGGCTTTTCTGGCGAGATAACAAAAGGATGCTTTTCCTGAAGCAATTCATGACTCCAGGCTCCGCAGAAAACAGAATGGCCTCAGCTTAGCATTCCATTCTTTCTGTTTCTCTCACTAATATCAGCATCCCCTTGTGGTCCCAAGTAGGAGCAGCAGCAAGGATAACATAGAGGAATTCACAAATGCTGTTGAGCAAAAAAATCAGGTGTGGTTTTAAATAGAACATAGAACCCTGGGCTCTCCTCTGGTTGGCATTCTTAGAAACAATGCCACCTTTAAATGTAGTTCAAGTTATACACGCCCAGGCTGTTTGAATAATACAGAGCCTGGAGCCATCCCATGGTCTGCCCCTCAAAAAACAGGCCCAGCAAAATACAGTGAAGAAAAGCTGTTGAGCAAGGCAGGCTTGTTACTGCGGTGCAGCCCTTTGCCCACTCGCTCATATCCAGCCCCACGACAGACGGTTGCCTTGGAGCAGCAGCTTGGGGGTTGTGACTTTAGCCTCAAGCCCGGGCAGACAGCGTGGTGCTCACGGGTGCAATAGCATTCTTGGTGCCCGCCGAGGCACCCTGTGCTTTCCAGTGGCCATTTTAAAACATGTTATATTTCCTTACTGGAAGCTGGGATTGCTTCAGCGTGAAGAAGGAGCTCCCGCAGCTGCAACCTTTTCCCATAAATGCCTCAGGGAAGGTTGCTTATCCTTTGTGATGAGCTATACCAGCCCATGCAAACTCTTTTACGGTTGTGTGTAGGACCATTTCACAAACTTTCAGGTGTGCCCATGGCTGTGAAGAGTCGCCTCCCCCCAGTATAGAGCAGGAGTGCACAACCTTTCCAACCCCAAGAGCCACATGGGGGGTCTGTTAGGGGGCTGGGGGCTGCACGTGTGTGCACTCACACATGCCTGGGCGTGTTCATGCAAGCACATACTCGCACATGCATGTCTAAACACTCACCAGTTCACAAACATATTGAAATCTCTCGCTTCTCCCTGGCCTGATCCCTCCTTTCCCGCCTCTGTTAGTAGAGGGAAAGCACAACAACTGGGTAAAGCAGCGATCGATTGGCATTGGGTTGCCCAGCACGGCCATCCCGATCTAATTGCTGCTTTACTGCTGCTATTAGCAGCAGAAGCTGTTGAGAATCTCTTGCTCAGTGCACATGCATGAATATTTTTAGTGTGGGGCAGAAAACAGGAGAAAGGCATGATAAAAGTACAGTGGTTCCTTGGCTCACAAACTTAATCCATTCCAGGACTCTGGTTGTGACCCAAATTGGTCGTGAGCCAAGCCAAATTTCTCCTTAAGGTTCAGTGTAAATAAGGTTAATCTGTTCTGTAACTATTTTTTTTTTAATCACAAAAATTTGAAGTGGGCGCGCTCGGGGCGGGGGAGAGGCGGATGTGATCGTGGGTGTGCTCAGGGGGGGAGGCGGGTGTGACCACGCTCATCACCCGATGTGGCATTCGCAACCCGAGGCAAATTTTTTCAGAAATTTCTGTTTGCGACCAGGTTTGGTCATGAACTGAGGCGTTCATGAGGTGAGGTACCACTGTACTTTTTAAATGAATTCACCAGTAACTCAGCTATGTGCTCTTTCTGACATAGATTTTGCTTCCACATTTCAGGCATAGGATTTTTTAAAAATGCCTTTTGTGATATATGGGGTATACCCTTGGCCGGTAATCAGCGAAACTTTTTGTCTGACGGTTGGTTGAAGTAGGTTTCATTGCTCTTTGCATGGAGCGGTGTCCCACTTTAACACACTTGGCCAGCTTTCAAAATCTCCAAAATCTGAAAGTCCTTTTCGTCCAGCAATGACATTAGGGCAAATGAAATGGGCCACTTTCCCTCAAACCACTAAGCTCTCTTAAAAATCTGTCTCCGACCTAAGAGTTCAGTCATGTGTTTACTTCAGGCTAAAGGATATAAGTTAACTGTATGAGGCCAGACGGTAACCTCTATGCATCCTTTTCTCTGCAATATCACTTTAAAGGGGCCTTGTGCCTTTTCTTCCTGAATTACTTGGGCTAAGGAAAATGAGACATGTGAGATGCAAAGGGGCAACACAGAGCAATAGTTTTAGCTGTTCAACATTTCCTCAGGAATCTGAATAAAACAGCTGAAATATCTAAAAGCAACATTGTGGCTGAGAGTTTTGAGGAAGATGTCATCTGGAAAAGCAGGCAAACCTCACTAATCTATTCAAGAATAACCTTGGAGATGCTTTGCGTATTTTACTAAATCTAAGTAAACAAGAAACCTTAGAAAAACAGTTCATAAGCTGGACTTGTTCTCACAGGGCTTTAGCTACGTTGATATGAAAACTGATCTTGGCTATTGTTGGCAAAATTTGGATGTCTGAAAAGCATTACCTTTGTGTGCCTTTTTGCATTGTGGGATCAAATCCTGTACTCCTTCTCAAAACCAAGCTGTCACTGTTTAAAATAGCATTCCAGTGCTCCTTTCTCTCACCTTTTGCTGTGGGCTACAGTAGACAGGCCATTCAGTCCAAAAATACATTGTAAATAGTCATTGTTGGAATTCAGTTTACAAGGAAGTATCTTTGGATAGCCCAGAGGCTCCATGTGCCCTGGCCAATTCAGAATGTTAGAGTAGATAAGAGTCTTGAGTTCGTGCATAGTTTCAGTAGCTTGAATTTACATGTCTAAGCAGACCTGGAGATGGGTTCAGGCTACTGAACTAAAGTGTCAATACGGGCAATTAGAAATATTGTAATCTCATTGTTACAGTGTGATTGACTGACATTTCTTTATCTGTTCTGTATGGGATGACCTCAGAATCTTATTGTAATCTCTGCATTCTGTCATCAATTGCCCTGTACCTGTATGTGACTGGGAGTGTATAAAAACTCTCTAGTTGTGTTGAAGTTTTGCAGCAGAGTTCATCTCTGCCTGCCCAGTAATGCAGCATGCATTATCGTGAGAGTACCGCGGGAACCTTGGGGTAAATACAATAAAGCCTCAGATGGTCTGGACGCTTGGTCTTTCCCATGAACCCGAGTTTTATTCCCAATTCCGGGATTCCGGGATTCTGACAGTATACAAAGGCAAGCGCTGATAAAGACTAGTTTACCTCTGATTAATTTCAAATACTGCTCTCTGGTTTCCAAAAATGTTTCTTCAAACTGCAAATAAAGGACAGCAAGTTTATTTATTTATTTTTATTTGTTACAGCATTTGTATCCTGTCCTTCTGTGGAAATGCTCAGGATGGCTTACATAATATAAAATTATGAAATACAATATTAAAACTACAATTATTAAAATATCTAAAATTGAACAGTATGAACTAAACTAAAAAATAGGAAAAAATAGAATAAAAGTTATTCTAAGTTAGTTTTATTCTACATTTCATGGACATTTTATTACTTAGGTTTACTGCATGGATATGTTATGGACGCATGGTTAAGAATGTGAGCTCTGAGTTGGGAGATCTCCACTTCAGAGCTCAGACCAATAAAGAACACTTACTAAAGAACCAGTACGGTGCAGTTTGATTTCTGAAAGAAAAGATAAAAGAAAAGAAAAGGAGCAAACCTCAACTCCAGCTGCTGCTAACAACCACCGTATGGATTCCATCCTTCCCCTGCCATTAAAGTAAGTAAGCTTGGGTTTCTCACTCATATTTCAAGTTGATAGTTTCCTGGTAAAGATATAGGAGTGGAAAAAATGATGTAATATAAACTCCCCTTTACAATTTAAATAGATCTAAACGGTTGAATTAAATGAATAAATAAAAGTGGAGGATTGAAGAAGAGGGTTAGCTGGCTGCATGTTCTTCTTGACACAGTCTTAGGCTGGGCTGGGCAACTCACGGGCCTCCAGACCTCTTGGCTTGCAACTCCGGTGATCTCCCACCATTGGCTATGCTGTCTTAGGGCATTATTGGCCAAAGCACTGGAGGGCAATGAGTAGAACTGTCAGTTCTGCAGAGACCACAAATTTATGTGGGTCTAAGCCCTACTGAACAAATGGGATACATGAGTAAACATGCTAAATTCCCAGGTATAGCAGATTATGAAAGGAAACCAGGTGACATCTCCAGGAGAGCAGCTTGGAGGGAAAAGTCAGCATCTCCCTAGACATGCAGAGATCTCCACCTCGCCCTCTTTCTACTATCTCCTTCAGTAACACGCAAGCAGCAAACTGTTCTGTGGGGAGTGAGAGGCCCCTGCATGGCTCCAGCCCTTTCTTCTCAGCTCCTCAGAGAATGCAATCTGGGCTAGTCTGCACAGGCCTCCAGTCCCCCTGAATGGCACATGTGACTTAAATTACCATTTTCTGCAGGGAAGCAGGAGTAAAATTCAGCCTCTTCTTATCTTTTCTCATTTGCTAAGAAAAGCAAGGATTTCATTTTGATACCAGTTGCCAAGGGACTGGCAGCACTGGTTCAGTTGGGACAGCAAGATAAACAAGAAAGGCCCACTTATGAAATGCTGGAAAAGAGCAAAGGCACCAAAAAGAAGGTAGTGATTTGGCACATATTGATTTATATGCACAAAGGAAAAATTAGAATTAACTATTATAATTTGAATAGAATACACTATATCTCTGAGGATTGGAAATCCCTAGTTAGATGGCATACCAATATGCAATTCACTTAAAAGTGCTTGCACAATGGCTTGACATACTATGTGATTGAGCAAAAATGTGCCTTTGTTAGGTTTCCCCTTGTTATGTTGCCATTTATGGTGAAAAGAAAATCAGACTTCCAGGTGTTGAGCTATTACAATCCATGCATGACTGCTTCTAGGCTAGTTGTATTCATTATTTAACATAGTTATGTCCCTCCCTTTTTTTCCTACAAGGAACCCAATATAGTTTACACAATACCCATCATTTTATCTTCACAACTACAACCTTGTGAGGCAGATAAAGCTCAAAGTCTGTAATTGGCTCCAAGTCACCCAGTGAGCTTCATAGCCAGGTGGTAACTGGAAACAGAATCCTCCAAGTCACAGTCCAACTCTCTAACCACTACACAATATATTCCCTCACAAAAACCACTTTCATCTCTTATTTATAACTGAATGCATTTGGTATTGCATCGTGTTGGGCCTCCATAATCCTAGGCCGAGTTCAGACACAACAATCTTAGACTGATGAAGTATTATTTCTGTTAGCCTTCCCCAATGTGTTGTCTTTCAGATGTACTGGACTACAAGATTCAGCATCCCTGACAGTTGGCCATATTGACTGGGGTTGATGGGAGCAGACATTTTAAAAATCCTGAAGGCACTCTGCCAAGGAATGTTTGAAATCAAGGAATGCTGTGGTCTTTCTCATTCCTCTCCTCCTCATACACCCAGCTTCACCATTTGTTTTCTGCCTTGCTAAACCAGTTCTCTGTGATGTCTGAACTGGGAAGCTGTGATTTAAGGACTGCTTTACAAGCATGATCAGAAACGACAATGGTTGATCACCTGAGACTGTTATGTTTGAGCCAGGCCAAGTACTTTCAATGGCAGTGCCGAAGACAAAGTGACATCCTGGCCTGGAGAGCAAAGGGAGTGGCAGTGTGGAAATTATTATGAACTAAGCAAGCTGATCCTGATTCATTTGCAGGTATTAGTATGCAAAGGCTTGGTGAAAACTTGGCAAGGTTTACCTTGTTCTCAAGAACAGAGGGATTAGATGCTGCTCTGAGTTCTTAATTCTGCAAACATATCACAGCTTAAAAGTGCCTATTTTAAGATGGAACTGGCTCCACCAAATATTGAATGTAGTTGTAAGAAACAAAGAGATCTCTTGAAGGTTAGGACAGGTTAAGTTCCCTATTCAAAATGGAACGTTTGAATCCATGCCTTAAAGTTCTGTGAATTACCCAACATATATTTAAGACCTTCGTTGCATTTTAACTAACAAGGTAGGTCAGTTTTTCAGCAGAGATAGATAAGGAGAGCAATGGATTGCACACTTTCAGCGGATGTTCACCAAGTGTGCTGTGAGCAATGTTGCTCAACATAGCAAACCAACATGGAAGTATGAAAGCAGATCCTTGACTAGGCAAAAAGGCAGAGTTTGGATGTTGCATTAGAAAGAAAAGGCGCACACACTAGCAGCTCTTACACCGCTTGGCCCTCTGAGAAGAATATGGCTTTTGGAGTCAGTTTTGTGTGGTTACCCAGAGGTAACCTCTCAACATTGAAACAGGAAACTGATGACATCTGTGTTTCCTTTGCAGGTATCAGCCCATGTTCATGTTATGCGACTGATACCATATTCAACTGCCTGAAAAATGCCTATGGATTGAAATTGCGCTGCTTCCAAGCTTGTAACTGCAGAATATTTACCACCCACTGGAAGGGCTACTTTGGGAATGTGGACACTGCCAAGAAGGAAGACAAAGATAAGGTATAGATGCAACCTTTCAAGTCTACACGGCATGTCACAAGCAGCTTTACTTCTTAGGATTCTAGACTAACTGCAAATGTGATGGCATTTTTCCCCTTCCTGGTACAATTCAGTATGGCTGCCCATAAATCTCCTAACTCAGATAATTATGGCATCCTACGAAAGGCAGAGGGACCATGGAAGTGAGGGTCACAGCTGCAGTTCTTCTACCTAGCAAAACACTTGAATGGCTGATTTTGGCCATCTGGTAGCTTGCCACAGAGTGAAGGATGACGCACTGTCACAATACCATGCATATTGGTAGGAACTGCCCCCCCCCCCCCCGCCGCCCCCAGGCAGCCTCAGAGATGCTGGTCTTGTGATGCTGGCCCCACAGCCAAGTCATAGTTTCCACACTGGCTGTGAGGACAGAGGAAGGGAGCTCCGCTTTGGAGTCCCAGCTCCAACCGTGAAGCAAACTGAGACTCTGAATGAATTCTCCTATGGCTGTCTAGACTCAGTCCAGCAGCCACAAGGTTGCCCCTGAAAAGATTTGAATCCATATGATATGTTCTAGGAGGCAGCTGAGGTTTAATTTGAGTTTGGCAGTTGAAGCTGATTTGCACTTATCCTACATATCACTCTTAGCATTTGTTGTTGTTGTTAATTTGGTCTGTACAGTAAAAGCAGAAGTCGCTTGCAAGTATTCCTGTTTTCATGCAAAATGTTACTCCACAAGAGGCCCTGCTCAAGGTATGCTATCCAGCATGACTTATTGGTAGTTTCTGATATGGTGCTGACTCAGATGCACCTGTTCCATGTTTGTTATCAGCTGCACTCACACTGCAGTGTTTAGAGCACATATTAGAGTATTATCACATTCTTCTTCCTATGTACTACAACGTATCTTAAATATCTTTAAACCACAGTACTGAGAAAAAAATTCTTTCCCTCCTCAGTTCATCATTTGATGAATTGTATAAACAGCTAATCAGTAGGTGCCCTTGCACACATAAACCGATCCAAAGGTTTTGGAATGTTCTTGTAGCAGATAAAAGTGAAGGAGATGCAGAATAATACTGGAAGTGTGAACAGGAAGATAAAACCGGCATTGTGGAATGTTTACAGCACAATCCCACACATGTTTACATGGATGTCAGTCTCATTAAGCTCAGTCATGCCTACTCCCAGGAAAATATGCTTAGAAGATTTAGTCTCGGGGCCATATTCCAATATTAGTCTTAGCTTAAGTATACCCACTGAAAGCAATAAGATTTAAGTTGGACTTTCAAAGAGTGCAATCCTATTCATGCCTATTCAGAAGCAAGCCCCACTGAGTTCAGTGGCATTTACAGCTAGGGAAATGCACTTAAGAACTGCAGTCTTAAGAGTGTGCTCATGTGTGCAGGAGCATGGTCAATTGAACTCTAAGAGACTTATTCCTGCATAGACATGCATAGGGTAGTGCTGTCTTTATTCCCCCCCCCCCCCTCTGGCCATGAAGTACTTCTGTTACATATGAACAGTGATGTTCCTTCTACTTAAAGCAGGGTCGTGTGCAGTACAGAAAAGCAGATTTATTCATATTGCCTTTCTCACAGTACAAGCATAACCCCTTTGATCTAGTGTCACAGTTCAAAGCAGAGAATCCCAGTTGGAGCGCTGCTTCACGTCCAAACCGGCAGCGAGCCACTTCTTGCTAACTGCACTATAGCCCCTGCACCTCTCTGCCCACTCTCCATTTTCCCCTCTTGATGCTTTCACTCTTTGCCCTGTCTTCTCTCCCGCATGCCTTATTCCTACTTACCCTGCTTCAGTAGATTAACATGCAATTATTTCTTTCCATTTCCCTATCAAAGGTCTGCCTATAAACCACAAGGATTGTAAACCAGAAGGCGTTTTTCCTCCTCTGCTGCCAACAGTTTTGTTAACATTTAACCCATTAACCCCCCAATAGTTAAATTAAAACAGTTTAAAGTTAAAAGGATCACTTGCATCATACCTGCTAACCTCCTGCAAGGCAAGGGCTGATTTTCCTCTCCACTGAGAAAGCTGGCTGTCAGAGTGGTATAAAGTAGGATGCCCCACCTACTTTGGGGAAGTCTGTTTCTACTTCGGGGAAGTCTGCCAGGGCGACTTATTTTATATGGTAAATTCGTTTTATATTTTTAATGTATTACATTTTAATGCTTTGTGAGCCGCCCCGAGGCTTCGGCGAATGGGGCGGCATAGAAATGTTCTAAATAAATAAATAAATACTATCTTCCCCTCTGGGCAGAGTAAAAGAACCTGCCAGTTAGCATTAGAAAACTTTTTTTTATGTTATTATTATTTAAACATAGATTTCCCATAATATATCCTCAAAACAGTGTTGCATTCTTTTAACCTGCTTAGCCTGATGCACAAGCTACTATCCATCTGGACAGCAATCCCATCGCTACAGTTATTCATGCTCTTCCAAATTCTTACACAGCAATGAGTTAGGGGTAGGACTGCTTCTGAAAATGGTCTGGAAACTTCAGCTGCTCTGAAAAAGGGAAATAAGATTGTTAACATGAACTAGCCAATATGGACATATCCCACCAATGTTCTATGTTCTTCACTGGCTGTTTGTCTGGCCCAGCAAAGCCCTAAACAGCAGGAGGCAAGGTACCTAAAAGTTCATCTCCTCTGCTCTTTGTCATCACCCCTGTTGTCTGGACCACATGTGAAAGGCCAGTGGACCAACCTGTGGCCTTGATGAAGAGAAGCTGCTCTTGGGCACTCTCAACAGTGTACAGACCTGCTGGGGCATGTGCTCTTGGCAGCTGCCCAACCAGTCCTAATCTTGGTGCCAGCTCTTCTATGAACACATTTCATTACGCTCAATCAGACTTATTTCTGAGTAGATGTATGGATTTGCACTGTAGCACCAGCTTCACAAAACACTTCAGATTTCACTTCTAGGTGCTGCATGCCACTTTTAAAAGCCACAATAAAGTTGGAACAAAGGTAATAGGAAGGGACCCTTATCCTGAAGCATAGATCCTGCCCTATCCATTCAGATCCAGGGGCAACCTATAGGTGTGACTTTTATTGAGCTAACATGCAGCCTCGGCCACATAATGTATTTTGAGGTGAGAATTCAGACATCGTCAACTTCCATCAATAATCCTCCCATGTTTTTTCATCAGTTTTGCATTTTTTCTTAGCACAGAATATACATTAGGGCAGGGGTCCTCAAACTTTTTCAACAGGGAGCAAGTTGAAGGGTGCCAGCAATGGGCGTGGGCTGCCAGGGTGGGGCGGGGTGGGATGGGCGGGTGTGGAGATCGTTTTCTCCAAGCGAGTCCAAAACAATCTCCTTGAGAGCAAGCCGCTGCCGGGTACGTGCATGGCGAGGCGCCAGCTTGCTCACAAGGAGATTTTTTTCTCCGAGTGAGTCCAAAAGACTCTCCGCATGAGCAAGCTGCGTGGCGAGTCCAAAACCTCTGTGGCGGGGCTGGATAAATGGGCATGGCGGGCTGGATCTGGCCCACGGGCCGTAGTTTGAGGAGCCATGCATTGGGGAGAAACAGACGCAATAGCTACATGATGCTTTCTAACTAGTAGCAGTAATAGCCCTCCTTCTAGAAGCACCCCTGCTTTACAGAGGGGAATCCTCTATTTGAAACTTTCTACTGTTGAAGGACTGCCCCATTCATGTCCAGCTTAAACATCAAGAATTCTAAGATGAGAGAGTCCAAGGGCTTTAAGCTGCCCATGAACAGTTAGTACTGTGCTTATTGTAGATTTGCAATAGGCACAGTGTCCCCAAGTTACAATATCCCCCACTTAGGTGAGATATATTGCATTTCTAAGTAAACTATAATTTGCACCTATATATAAAAATAATAATTCTCAATTTGCACCTATATATAAAAATTAGTATCTCAAACCAGTGTCTTTTCAATCAAATCAACACTTTCTTTTCTAGTGTTGTTTTCTCTTTCTCTGCAGGGTTTTATAATGTGTAAATGGCCACTCAGTTATGCAGTCAGCTCTAGAAATCTTTGCTTCAGAAGGTCCCCTAAAAATGCAATTGTTTCATTAGAGCTTTGACTTGGACCAGTAGATGTTTCAGTTATGCTAATATCTATGTTTGTCTCTGCTGTATTATTTTGTAATTTTGCTAATTATTACAGTAACTTCATAGCACTTTTTAAAAATAGAAAATAACAGAATTGGATCTGTTATTATATTGTCAGCTGCCTTGAAACTTCTTTGGAAGAGAAAACAAAAGATAAATGTGTTTAAAAAGCAAATTATTTATTATTAATGGTTACTGTGGAATGCTACATTTCTTAGTATATTGATCCAATATAAAATTGCATTTTTATTTTCACATATAATATATAAAATGTTTCAGAGTAGTATTAATTTTAAATTTGTATCCGTTAACCTGAAGCCAACTGATTACCTAGAAGTACTCTATAAATGCCAGTCTGGACACAGATAAGAACAGCCCCTTTGTAGGTAGAATTCTAGTACCACTTAACAAACACTGGATTTTTATTTCCTGTTGAAAACTCGATTTGCTGTTGCTACAAGTTTTTCATCAGGTGGAGGCTTCCTTTGACTACCAGGCTCCAGAAACTTCTTTATTGTGGGAACATCACACATTCTTGCTTTAAAGGCCTAAAATAGGAAATGTTAGAAAGTGTTCACAGGAAGAAAGGAAAGTATACAAGAAAAAAAACCCTAAAAATTATAAGGCTGAACAGATTTTATACAAGGGGAAGTTTCATGACTAAATCCTGAGAAATATGAGACCAAAATCCAGACCCTTTCTCTCATTTCTCCACTGCAGCCAAGAAAAAATCTATTCTGAACTGTCTCCCAATCCCTACAAAAGACTTTGAGGGTGCATTATGTGGGCAGATTTCCCCCGCTCCCAGGTCTGCTGGCAGAAGTAGTTCCAGAAGCAAAATGGCACAACTGGATTTCACTTGTTTGCGGTTTGTGTGGATATGAGTGAAAGAAAGAGGGGTGTTTTTATTGCAAGCCCAAACACCATTTCATAATTCCTAAGGATCCTTAATGCAGAACCAATGGTGACATAATAAATTCACATTCCCAAGACAACCCTGAACAAACTCATGGTTGCTTCAAACTGGAAGAATGTGAGTCCCCTTCCCAGTTATTTTTTTTTTTTATAATAAAATAATTATTCCTAGATTTGGTACAAGGAAGCCACCTGCAACTCCCTTTACTATCAGTGATCTTAAAGGACAAAGCTATAGTTTACTGCAGACATTGTGGCTTTCAAATGCAACCTAAGCAGGAAATTCTAGCTTTTAGCTAGAGATGTTTTGTGCTTATTAAACGTACTTCCTTGTTCTCAGAGGTGTCAAGTTCTAATCGGCAGTACCTGCATTTTGGAAATGTTGATAACAGAACTTCTATTCACCTCTGCTGAAAGTTTACTTCAGGGGTGGGGAACATTATTCAATCTAAGGGCTGAATTCTAGTCCGAGAATAATCTTGGCTGGCACAATGCATTTATTGATGGGGCCAAATGTAAAGTGGTCAGGGTCAAAGTGTTCTTCGTAGTGCTCTAATGCTCCTCAGAAGTAATCTTGAGCAGTGTGTCTACACAAAAGTAAGCAGGATGAGTAGCTGAATGTCTACTTGCAACTAAGCCAGACTGACCCACTCAACTATTGTCTTGCCCTGCACGACCTCCTTTCCCTTGCAATGAAAAGTTCTTATCTCCAGCTAGCAGCTGAGCACCAAGAAAGGGACCTTTTTTTAGTGCTCAGTAAGGAAAAGTAGTAATATCCTATCAGCTACTGAAAATAAGAAGATTTCCATGGTGGGAGACGAGCTGAGCCCGAAGGAAGCAGGTGGCAGGCCTGATAGGTTTTCTGTGCCTGAGATATGTAATTAATTGCTACTCAGCTCATTCCTTCACCTGCAGCAGAGGAAACTGTGAGAGAATGGTGGACTCCTTTTCTTCTGCCATCAGTATAGTCTCTATCAGCTGGACATCAGCCCAAGTCATCTGGCACCCAAGAAGGAAGTGTTGTCCACTGTCTTTCAAAACCTATGGAATCGATGTTTATTAAATGTGAATAGATCAAATTACTTAGATGCATATTTACTTATCTACATATAGTCCTCTGATCTACCGAAGTCCTCACGCTTTAAAATAAAATGGTAGCTTACAAAAGTACATGAGACGTAAAAGCAACTGGAGAACGAGGGGTGGGGGAAATTTAGACAGACATGATTTTGTACATTATCTGTTTCTGTAACAACCATGCAGAATGGCCATTACAGAGCCCAATTCTGGGAGAGAAAGACTCAAGCAGCAGTTTTCCCAGGCAAGCTGAGAAAAGGCCTTTGGGGTAGCTCTGAAACATTGCAATGCAGCCACTTTAACCTATGCTAAACTTCAAGGATCCACTCAAAAGCAGGGTCATTCATTCTTTCAAAACATATGTACAGTATGCTGCCTTTTGGGTCACTACCTTGCAAAGGTAATTTACATAAAATCTATAATATATCACTCCACGAGCAACAGTTAAAGAAATACAGAGCGCTACATATTAAAAAAAATCAACTTTCACACAAAAAGAGAGATTTCAGCATCTTTTTAAAATCCACAGGAAGAAAATTGAGGTGTTCAAAACATGGTGCTGTAGGAGAGCGTTGCAAATATGCTAAACCAACAGAAACACATATAAGTGGATCCTCAATCAAATCAAATTAGAACTTTCCCTGGAAGCAAAGATTACACAAGTACTGTAGGCACGTCACAAGAAGTGAAGATTTTCTGGAGAAGACAATCATGCTAGGCAAAATTAAAATAAAAAGAAGAGGAAGACCAAAGATGAGATGGATCGATTCCATGAAGGAAACATTTGAGTTTACAAAGAGTTTTTGAGTTTACATTTTGGAGGGCATTCATTTATAGCAGCACCATAAGCTGGCGATTACTTTACAGTATGTAATAACAACATATGTAGGGGCAATATGTATTTTCCTAGAGAGAGAAATTCAGAAGCATGGGGACATTATTGTAAAAACTCTTGCTCTCATATCTGCCAAACTAAATAGAACTTGGTGGCCTACCCATGGGCTCCTACATTTTCTGAACTATCCATCCTTCCTCCTCCCAGGAGAACCTGTTTTGCCTCCAATTAACCGTTTGTTTGCTTGTCACAGCCTCAAGCAAAAATGCTACTGCTCAATCCCAAAGAAAATTTAAAATGAAACAAATTAGCCTTGCGTCTGCTGGTGGCATACCTTCTCATAAACCGGGAAGTATCTCTTTGTGGCTCGTTCAATAATTAAGCTAAGGTCCTTTTCCTTCTGAGGTGATTTATGATGAACCCTGATCATTCCCATCAGGTCTGTTGTTCCTTCTACATACATATCAATTCTGGGGAGATAGAAAGAGAGAGTCAGACCGAATAACCTACCTAAACCTATTTTCTTTTAAAAGAAAAATAATAAAAGATGCATCTGTTGTCACATGCCAGCCAGCTGCTTTCGACTGAGCCCCTTTTTTAAAAGATAAAAAGACAGGATGCTGTGGGGATCAATATCAGCCTTGGCAGACACATGCCAACCTTGTGGTGATGGGGCACCATTGGCCGCTGTTCCATCACCTGCCGCTCTGAGTGATTGCTCATCAGACCACCCTGGTCTCTGGGGCCCTAGACTTTGACCCCGCGGTCCAGAGCTAGCTACACTACTGGCTTCAATCCCCATTAGTCTCACTGAGCATGGCCAGTAGTAAGGAATCCCAGGAGTTTCGGTCCAAACAGGCTTAACGAACATTACATAATAGTATAGCATAGGATAAGGCTGGACTAATATACTATCAGCCATAACAATACAGATCAGTATTTTATCTGAGTTTCTGCTACTTGTTTAAAGTTTGTCTGTTGGTTCCTACTGATTACTTCTGTCGCTTTTCTGTCTTCCTATTTTGTTTTACATAACCCCTCATTTTAATGACCAGGATTGCTGCTGCTGCTAGCCCCATCTGCCATTATGCAAAAAAAGTTAAATATTTGTCCATGTAAGAAGCCTATGCTAAAATACAGCCAACTATGTTACAGGGCAAAGTCTCTTCCCTACATTTTTTACATGTAGAAAAACATTTATTGCAGAATCATGTTCAGTAATGATTACCTACTTTAATATTCCTAGATAGAGCCCTAGCTACTTGATTGGATCTATTTCAACTGAAATGTTCTACATCTGCACAAAAAATGGGTAAGAATACAATTACAGTGCTCTCTCCTTCAAATCCTTCCCGTAGAGGTTGTGTTTTGCAGCAACATAGTTGAGAATGGCTCGGGTCTGCACTAGCCTCATCCCATCGATTTCAACCATGGGCACTTGTTGAAAGAGCAGGCATCCATCTAGGGAAAAAGAAACATCACGTCAGTCTTCTCAAGCAATTGTACCACACTCTCCACACTGGAAAAAAGAGCATTTAAAAAAAAAAATACTTCGCAGGCTAAATGTCTTCCCACTGAAACAAATGTATGTCATGCTGCTTCCAATGGTAGATGCATGATCACTGTATTTGAGGGCTGGTTCAGTGTTTCCTGACGCTTCACCTGCAGTCCTCACATCTAATGGGGTTTAGGAACAAGTCTTAGGATCTTTTCTGTTGTCTCTTTCCAACTTGGCACATTCTTTGTGAGCTAGAACTTGTTTGTGCATCTGTTTGTCCATGTCCCATTATCCACTACCAAAAAAGAAGAGAAGATGGACAGATTCTCTGGATTTGGAAAACAGGTGAAAGTTCCTAGGTCACTCAATGGTTTGCACATAACATAAAGCCATGTTTTATGTCAACTATGTTTTCTTGCATTAGCCATCAGTTGTCTTGAAGATAAACAAACAAGCCACAGCTTATTTTCTGCAGGAGCTCTGAATCTGGATGAAGGTCTTAATCTGGGGGGAGACAAGAAGAGGAAGGGACTTACCTTTGATTAATTTTTCATATTGTTCTCTGGTTTCTAAAAATTCTTCTTCAAACTGAAAAGAAAGATAAATAACACGAGTCTAAAAAACTAACCAAATGATGGCATAAGCTTGTTTGTGCCAGAGAGCACTTCCTAAGTGGGAGTTTCATATCCCGAACACGGAGCGAACACTTTTAATTTTCTTTCTTCATTTCACTTGGGAGCCAGAGTTTGAACAATATAAAGACTAGCAGTATTATGTGACACACAGGTGCATTGTGATGTAACAGGAATATTGAATATTTGATTGATGCAGTGTTTTCATTCATGTGAAAGGCAGATTAGTCTTTTTCTAAAACACCCAATATTACTCTGCTAAGTGATACGTTTTACTTAAAATAAGCACACATGTTTGCTCATCAGATAGTGACGGGCTTATTCAAGTGTGGCAATGTCACTTACCATTTTATAGTTGAAAAAGAATTCACGAGCCTGTGAAGTCTAATTTCTTGGCAGTGTTTCTGCTGGCTGAAGGTGACTGGAACCTGACGCATTCCCCGTGTCAGTGTGTCTAGTTTTTACGGGTGCTTGGGGCCTGTTATCCTGTATCGCAAAGTTACATTTCTGCCCCTTCACATGCATACGAAACCATGTAGGAGCCATTTCTTTGTAGTGAAAAGCCCAGACAGACATTTATTTACTTATTTCATTTTTATGCTGCTCAAAAGCTGAGGCTGTCTGGGTGGTTAACGATTGTTAAAATTGAACAAGTTTAAAAGACACACATGCACAAGTTAAATAAAAGAACAAAACCATAACAGCTGCAATATGGAATGGAATATATAAAAGCAAAGTTTAAAAGTTAAATTATTAAATACTGGGAAAATAAAAAGGTGCCTGGTGCCAACCCCCCTCCAAACAAAACAAAACAAAACAAAACCCAAAGTAGGTGCCAGGTGTATTTCTTTGGGAAGCTCACTCCAAAACCAGGGAGCCACAACCAAAAAGGCCCCCTTCCTATTAGCCACCCCCTCACTTCCTTTGGAAAGGGCTCCCAGAGACGGATGCCTGAAGATGACCGTGAAAAATTAAAGAGAGAGAGAAGGGAAGGACACCTTGCCGGACACCAGGAAAGATGTCCCGCACATGGACACCATGGGCGCCATCTTGTCTACCCCTGCTTGAGAAATCTGACTGATTAGCATGGGGCCTAACAAAGGAGGGCCCCCAAAGTGCGTTATCTTAATTTTGTTCCGGTTTTTCAATCTGAGGCAGTGAAAGGCCAAGGCTAGTGCAGGAATGCAGAGTGCTTCCACCTCATCATCAGGCGTGCAGCATCTGGGATCAAGAAGGACTTCTGGTTCAGCCGACATAATTTAGAAGTTGGCCCAAGGCCAGCACTTCCCTTTAGAGGTTAAGCAGAAAAGATGGGAATGTGGCTTGTGGAATGTGACATTCTGCCGAAGAAAGAGTTATGGTATGGTTGCATTGGTTTTGAAATAAAACCATGGCATGACCAAAAGAGAGGGTGCAGCTGGGCTTGGGTGAAACCTCAGTCCCCTGCTCAAGCTGTTATGAGACTGAGCCCCCCACCACACACACACACACACACACACACACACACACACACACACCTCCATCAGGAATGCACCCTCTCCCACCTGTTGATATGGGTGCAGTTGTGACTGTGACACATTTCTCATAATCTTAGCAAATGTCAGGCAGGAAGGAAACATCCTTGTGGGATAACCAAGGTACAAACCTCCACACCAGCTGCTGCTAACAGCCAGCGGATGGATTCCATTCTCCCTCTTCCGTTGAAGTAGTAGAGTTTTGGTTTCCCAGCCATGGTTGCTCAAGCGTTGGATATCCTGAAAAACAGATCGAGAAAGAGATGTGATTCTTTCTCTGAGTGAAAGAGATTAAAGGTGGAAGCCAGTCCTGCAACTCCCAGCATCCCTTGGCCAGCCATGCTGATTGGGTTGGGAATTGCTGGGAATTGTAAATCTTTTCTTCCTAACTAAACTTGCAGAGGCTTATGTTCCAAGTCAGTGATGGCGAACCTATGGCACGCGTGCCACAGCGGGCACACAGAGCCCTCTGTGTTGGCACGCAAGCCAAGTTGTTCCAGCCTCACCCCAGCAGCCGAGCATCGGATAACAGCACACATAGGGACCGTGCGCATGCTCGGAAAGGAGTAGCGGCGCCAGGCAATGACGTTACAAGCCAGGACTCATTAACCGCGACTCATCCGAGCTTTCGCATGGCTGGTCAGTGCGATGCCAAGGATATATATATATGTTTGCTTGGACTGGCTGAGAGGTGTTTTTTCTAAACTAAAACCGCAGTTTTCAGGTTTTATTGCAGTGTTGGCACTTTGTGATAAATAAGTGGGTTTTGGGTTGCAGTTTGGGCACTCAGTCTCTAAAAAGTTCACCATAACTGGGTTAGGCTTAGAAAAATGAGGTGTCCTGGCATGATTTGGGTGGGTGGAATGTGTTTAGAATGGGCAGAAATGAGGAGCTGTGCAGAAAAAGCCACTCAAGGAAGGCTTTTTCAAATGCGCACCTTTCAATGGTGTTTTATCCCTTTATTAGGGTTAGGGGTGTGCACCAGGGTAGGGTTAGGGTTAGAACAACGAGGTGTCCTGGCATGATTTTGATGGTTGGGTTTTGGGTTGCAGTGTGGGCACTCAGTCTCTAAAAGGTTCGCCATCACTGTCCTAAGTTTTTTTGAGTAGGCTCCAGGTGGCGCAGTGGTTTGAACCACTGTGCTGCTGGGCTGGTTGATTGAAAGGTCGCCGGTTTGAATCTGCACAACAGGGTGAGTTCCCGTTGCTCTGTCCCAGCTCCTACCAACCTTGCAGTTCAAAAGCATGCAAATGCAAGTAGATAAAAAGGTGCCACTTCGGTGGGGTGATAACAAAGTTCCATGCACTTTGGTGTTTAGTCATGCCGGCCACATGACCACGGAGACTGTCTGCGGACAAATGCTGGCTTCCTCGGCTAGGAAACGGAGATGAGCACCGCCCCCTAGAGTCAGGCATGACTGGACTTAATGTCAAGGGGAAACCTTTACCTTTACCTTTAACCTCACATCATCATATGCCTTTAAACATGTATTTTGATTTTGGGAACTTAAATGTACTTTATTACTTAGATATTTTCATAAAACATTTACATCCCAACTCTGCATGATGTTAATCTGATTTATGATAAATAAGTTGCCAAACAATGAAATCTAGAAATCATAACCATTAGAATAAAAATAATAATTAGGGGGTAAAACATCTCAGCAGCTTACCAAACCCTTTCAGTTGCTGAACAGTTGCTAAGCTGCCAGAGATAACGGGGTAGCAGTAATGCTACAAATCTTAAAGCAGCAAATATTTGTGACCAAACATGGGGTCATGCAAGCTCTTTTTCACTGACTCTTAAAGAGCAGGAGAGACAGATGTCTATTGTATATGAACTTTCCCTGGGAACTTGTTCTCCCTGTTTACCCAGTTGTGCCCTTTCACCTGTGCCTAAAGTTAATATTTCACTCCAGGTGCTAAATTAATATGCACTAAAAATTATAATGTTAAATCACAAAAAGCGTCTCAAGGAAGTCTGGATGAAAAAAGGCCTACAACTACTGGCACATCCCAGCCCTGTCTAAACTTGGACAGGATTGTGCCCAAAGACATTTAAAATCCATACAAGTAGGAAACTTGTGGCCTTCTAAAGCTTGTTGGACACCAACTACCATCAGCCCTAACCAGCCCTAACCTAACCAAATACGATGCAGAATTCAGAAGACCACAGATTTCCTGCCTCTGACTCTAATATAAGAACTGCATGTACAATTGTTTTATACAGTGTAACCCAACAGAAAATGTGGGTGAGCCAGAAAGAGAAAGTTGGAAGCCAATGATGCTCCAGGTGTTGGACTGCAATTCTCATCATCCCTGGCCATCAGCTGTACTGAGTCCACAACTACAGGTTCCCTACCATCACGGTAAGCAAATGACTTAGCCCTTCTGTTTATGCCTTTCTGTCTTAGTTTTGCCACTTTTTCCCCATCCTGTTTCATGTGCCAGCAAAGAAAAATTCAGAAGAAAAAGCTTTTCTAAGCTTGAAGGAAAGAATGCTAAGACCAAAAACCTCATCTGCTTATTCTTTTTCAGTCAAAGCAGAGAATAGAAAAGCGACAAGTTAAGCATAATTCTCCCTTTCTCTCTGCCCCTCACATGCAAGGACATAAACTGACATTTGTACAAGGAGACAGCACTAATGCCAACAATTTCCCTTTTTATTCCCTTGCCTCTTGATTGTACATTCAAAGAGTTAAAAACCAAACCAAAACAACAACAACAAATTTGGGAAGACAACATACCTTTTCTGAGTCTTTGGTCTGGCCTTCAGGAAGTTCTTCCTTCCTGTGGTTCAAGAAACTTTCCCTGAAATGATTAACTCCTGCAGCTCCTCCCACAGAAGCAACTTCCCCATTCATGAACATTCATAATATTCCTTCTTCGGTTGATGTGAACCTGTCTGTTTTAACCAGCAGTGACAAAACTTGGGTTTCCAGTTGCTTCTTCCACCCATAAAACCTACAGTGGCTAGACCACACTTCAGCTTTAAAATAGTTATTTTCTGCTCTAGACAGGCAGTATTCTAACAACTTGCACAATGACCCCATTGGATACTGTTCATTATGTGTCAAGGTGGCACATTTTACCTGTAGGTATGCTGATCTTGCTTCTTCATACACAGAATCCATTTGTTTGCAGAAAAGTGTGATGTGTGAGGCAACCCAAGGGAAGGGAAGGGAAGGGAAGGGAAGGGAAGGGAAGGGAAGGGAAGGGAAAGATGTATCTACAGCAGGCTCTGCCCACTGACTATTGATCTGCACTGGCTTGTCCACTGCCCCCTCTAAGCTCCACCAACTAACTAGTTTGGTTTTCTTTTAAGTGACGTTTTATTATTATTATTATTATTATTATTATTATTATTATTATTATTATTATTACATTTCTATGCCGCCCCTTGCCGAAACCTCGGGGCGGCTTACAACATGATAAAATACATGGAAATACAATAGTACATAATAAATTACCATTAAATATAAAAATACAAAAAATACATTGATTTACAAATACAAAATTAAAATTATCAGTGTAAAATAAAAATATAGGATGAGAAAGAGAAGGAAGAAGAAGTTGCCCAGGCCAGATCATATGTTTTAACAATTGAAATGATGTTTAAATAAAAAGGTCTTTACCTGGCGCCGTGGCACCCATGGACTTCAGCGAGATTAACATACTTAAAAATGGAAGTCACCTTTTTCTCTGTTTTTATTTATCAGTACTACATTTTCATGCATCTGCTCCTGCACAACATTATGCTCATAAATTCCAGTGTAAAAACAACCCACTTCTGCTGCACTTGCGCTGGTATTGTGCACTCCCAACTTGGTGCTGGAACTAATGCAGGATCAGCATTAGGAAATCAAGGCATGAAAATATCTTGGAAACATAATTTAAAAAACCACAGTTCTTGCTTACAGTTTAAAGGTCTTCTCAAAAAGTTTTTTTCCAAAAGGTTTCTGATTGACGCCTTTAACTGGCCATATTAGAATACAGGCAAATAACCAGCAGAGGGCAACAGGCAACTGCATTTGAAACATCTAATCCACTTGGCATTTAGCATCATTCTATTAAACTCAAGGTCTTTCATTTGGTAAGTGCAATTACTTTTGTTTGTGAGATCTTTTGTTTGAAATTTAACATAAATTAGGAACATAGGAAATTGCCTTATCCTCAAGTGAATCCACTGGTCTACCTAGCTCAGAGCTCCATGATCAAAAATTTACTTTCAGAAAAATGTAGCTTCAGTCTGCTGGAGATATACACCAATTTAGCAATTTATGAATGAATGAATGAATGAATGAATGAATGAATGAATGACAGCACAAATCAGAATTTTGGGAAACTGACTTACAACTGCAGCCATTGCTCTGAAACCCAGCATAAGTTGACAACCTCATGTTCTCCTGTGATCTCCAGATCACAGAACTGGTTCCTAATTTAGATTACATATTTAGAATACCATGAAATCAAGCACTTGGAAAAGCCTCTTTGATTTCAGTGGGTCTCCTCCAAGCATGACTACATCTTGATCCCAGATTAAAACCTAATTTTAGTCACTCGACTGAGCTATGATCCATTCTAAAAATAAATGATACATTGCTTGGAAGATATACGGTTCTATGGAAGCAATTCCAAACTGCTTCCATGGTTAAGGATTCCCACAGTTACTCCTTGTAGTTTAGGGAGTATATCTTACTTAAGAAGTCAGCAGTGCTTCAGACTCTCATGAAGCAGACACAGCAGCCAGAATTGCAGTGGGTATAGTACAGGCATGAATGTGGCATGCAAGTGTGGCATTGCACCCAACAAAATATTGACCACTGTGGATAAATGCAACCTCGCCACAGCAGCACTCGCCCTTAAAGGAAGGTGCAGGAGGCCCCTGCAACAAGGGAAGCAACACTTGTGTTTTCATTGTCCAGAAAGGTCATCATTTGGAGATGCCCTAATTCCTTGGAAAGCAGCAGATCTCAATAGAAGTTCAAACTTCCTGCCACTTTCCTGGCACTACATTTGCTCCTGAACATTCACCCTCACTCTCAAGTGCTTCACCTAGTAGTAACAAGTTCAAGCTTATGTATTACTCTTGCAAAACAGCAAAATTTTCTTCTTAAACCAAGGCAGGCTGCTTAGTTTAGTAGCGTTGTGCTTCTTCCATCAGGTCAGAAGTCCTCTCTCTCCCTGCAGCCAGTCTATAACCACTTCCATGGGAAAGGTAGGGGATGGATGAATTTGTCAGTTTTCACTTCTTGCCATTTTCCATTTTTAAGGTTAATTTGTCTGGAAATTTTGAGAATTTTCAGTTTGTGCCAAATTCAGTGAAAAAAGTTCCCATTAAAATTCATAAGCATTTTGGGGCATATTTTACTAATGTGTGCATTTTTGCCTAAGGTACACTTTTTGCAAGCAATTGTATTAATTTTTGAAAAGTACTTCGCTTAAAATCTGCATTTTTGTGCAAATTTGCTGCTTGGAGAATTCAACAGCAAAAGTTGGAGAAGTGCATATTTTGAAGGATAGCTGAGTTTTGCTTCAAATATTGGTTTGAAAATGCATAATTTGGTAAATTTGCGCTGAAAGCAAGCAGAACCCATCCCTAGGGAAGGGTTGTTTAAAGATAGGAGTCTTATCCTTAAAAGTGCTTTCAAGGAGACAGAAAAGCCAAACTCTGTGATATTAAATGTATTACTTTTTATCCACATCTTCACCCAAAAAACTCAGACAGACATACACAACTCCATCTTCACCCCCCTTTTATTATCACAGCCACCAGGCATAGTTTTGGGGTGAGATATGGAATATTCTATAGATATAAATCCTGCTGGAGCAGATCTAAGGCTTTTCTAGTTCAGCATGTTGTTTCCCCAAGTTTAACACAACATCTCTGGGAAGCCCACAAGCAGATTGGCTCAAGAGCTGGCTCCTTCTGTCCTTCCCAGTAACGAGAATTCAGAGGGATACTGCCCCTGGACTGGGAGGTAATTTGTCCTGCACCACAAAATGGTCTTATCTCCTTCTTAAGCCAAGATGGTGACAATTACAACATACTGTGGTAGCCTATTCCTGTTGAACTCTCTGATATATGTAGTCTGTCCTGAATCTTGCATCACGGAGTGGAAGAGAGATATAAGTTCTTGAATTATAAACACTTTATTTCTCCCTGTCTGCTTTCTCCACATGATACATTATTATGCACACCTCTAGGATGACACTCTGTATATGTATTTTTTAAAAACCTAAATGACCCAGATGTTGTAAGCAGCCTTTCTGCCAAGGGAATTTGGTCCAACCACACCCTGCCAAACAATTACTTTGGTTGACAACTTTTACACCTTTCTGAGTGTGGTAACCAACTGTGCACGGTATTCCCAGCATAGTCACACCATGGATCATTATAATATTGTCAGTTTTACTTTTATATGCCCTTCCTGGTGTTTTTAACTGGTTACTGATCCTTACAAAGATTGGTTCTCTCAGCACCCATAGGATAAGCTTGCTCAGGGACTTTGGTGACAGTCTTTGCCAGCTCCTTGGAGATCCGAGTACGAGTACACAGTATCCCCCAGCTCACCTATATCCGCACACTTGTTGATACTCTCAAAGATGGTGACTGGTTTAATGGCCAAGTGGGGATTCTTGAATCTCTAAGTTGTAACAACAAGTCATGATACACAAAAGTAAGGAAAAGAAACACTTTTTAATGCAAAATAGTACTTCAGGATCTAGCCTTTGTGCTGGACACATATCCCGCATATGCCAGAAATATTATAAATTCTGGCAAACATTTAGCCTTTTGTAATAAGTCATTATTTGTATTTCACCATACCCCTCATGGACTTACTTGCACATGCAAGTGAACATTAGATAGGGTAAATTTCAAAATTATCCTTTCTGGTCCTTCAGTGTCTGGCACACTAACAGGGAGTAGAAACTTGATTTTAAAATAAAACTTTCCGTTCCAGGTCTGGAGAGAAAATTTACACTGCAGTCCTATAGCTCTCACCTGGGAAGCCCCATCACTGAAATCACTGCGACGTATGCGTTATGATGATATACACACAATTTATCTGCTTTACCTCACCTCTGTAGATCTGACAGTGCCAACTGATGGTTCCAGGAGCTATTGCAGAATGATGTAATAATTAGGGAATTGCTAAGTGTGCCCTATCTCTAGATCAGGGGTTCCCAACCTGGGGCACCCACATCCCCAGTGGGAGTGTGGTGGTATTTTTGGGGTGGGGGGTGAAAATAGGAAGGCTGCATTTTGCTTTACCAAAATGGGCAAATGGCACATTTTCACCAAACATTATTCCAATAATAAAATTATTTTGTTCGCATTTGGATTCAGTTCTCTTTTGTCAATCAAGACAAAAACTAGGAATTGCCTGAATCTACAGGCGGACTTGCGCATGGCAATCAGCAAGAAAGTTCTGTTTAGACAAAATTGTGATTGAGAAGCAGGAACAAATGAGTAATTGAATTTTATGTCCACAATTGGGATTGATTTTATTATTTACACTTTTCTTCTAATTGCTCAATTTATATTGGAATTTTATGCACTGAGTTAAAAGCCTTTTTTAGTCTGTTTGTTCAACTGCAGCACCATATGTGGTTCATTATTTGACTTCATCTTCAAATGTGATATTACTTTGGAACAAATATTATGTTTGTAGGGGGTGCAAACATACATTTTCTAGGCACATGGGGCACAGAAAAGGTTGGGAACTACTGCTCCAAGTAATATCCCCAGTGTTTTCCAAAATCATAAACCATATGTTGAAGCCCACAGGTTTAACTTTATTTTTAAAAAATCATCCCCACAACCTATTTTCAGTTATTAGTGTGCTAGGAAACAAAGCAACCTTGATTTATTTTTATTTGTACAAGGGAACATTCTTGCTGTACTACAATTACTTATTATCTTGGAAAAGCGAGCTGGACCCCAGGATTTCTCAACCTGGTTGCCCAGGTGCTGGAATGAAATGCTCATTGCAGCCCAAAGTATTTACCTGGCAGCAGGTTGGGGAAGGATTCCCTGTATTTTAACTTGTGAACAGTGCTACTCCTGGCAGACAGTAGTCATGTGTTCAAGTCCTTAATTCCAAGTCTCCAGTCAAGTCACAAGTCTTTACTTTCAAGTCCAAGTTGAGTCTCAAGTCATTACAAGAGATTTTCCAGTCAAATCTCAAGTATTAAGAGCCAACTTTAACAGAAAACGGGGAGATGCTGATGGGGTGTGTGCGTAAGAGTTGTAACCCTCCCGATGTTCCCATCTGCACTTTTCTCAGTGATGCACTGAAGTCCTTTACTTCATGATTTATTTAAACAAGTTGTGTTGCTATTCAAATTTATCAAGATTGCCATTTAGACATGATTGGCCCCCAACATGGCACTGTTACTCTCCCTGGAAGTGCATGGGAATAGAGCAGAGTTGGCGGGAAGAAGTGCTGTTGCACTTTCTGCTAAGTAGAGCAAAGGACACCAAAAATGCTGAAGCCAATTCAGTATCATTTCCCCATCTGTTCTATAGGCATGCTAATGCTGATCTAGTTCCCCTTTAGCGTTTGCCCTTGTCACCAGCCCCTCAGCTGCTAGAAGGCCATTTGTGAGGAGAAAAATAAAGCGGCTGTACAAACGACCCTTGAGGGCTACTTCAAGAAAGCGACTCCAGTGATATTCCCCCACCTCCAGCAGCACAATCAAACTTGGCTCTCCAGCACCAGCTCCATCTCCATCATCATCAGTTAATGTTAGGCTTAATGTCACCTCATGGATTGGGAAATTGTTGACAGAAACAGGATTTCAAGCTTTAAAACAACAGCAACAGAGGAGCAGAGAAAAGTCAGCTGGGCACCTCTGCTTCCGCCCTTCCCAGAACCTCTTTTGCCATGGTTCTGCTTCATCTTTGAGATTGTACGTGTGCCCCAAAATACACTGGCTTAGATATGCTTGAGCAGCAGTGCAGAACAAAAAGCTGTATCTCTAGGTAACCTCTACCTCTACAAAACGCTGTGGGTATTTCTAGGGAATGACACAGCCACAGATGACATGTTGCCAAATGCATCACATAGTTCCCTAGAGATATTCCTGGCTTTTCATCAGAGATATTTATATAGGGTTTATGGCAGTCTGCACATTTGTACAACCCCCTCCCCCTGTCCCCACTCCCTTGTTTGTCCCTGGTGCCAAAAAATGACTCAGTTGTAAAAATATTAGCAATCTTGGGGCAAGTCAAGTCATTCACTCATTGTTCCCAAGTCAACCCTGAGAGGAGTTGCTGATTTGACTTGAGTGAGTCACTTGACTTGAACCCTCAACACTGGCAAATAGCATTTGCTGTCCCCACTGTTTCAAATGTAAGTACACAAGTGTAAAATTTGCTAGATCCATAAGATTTTTTGAGTTACAAAGCCTGGAACAGTATTTTTTGCTGAAATAGCAAGGGAACAAATCAAATAGAACTGTGTATTGCATTAAGAGATGAATATTGTGAAACACAATGCAAGCAATTGTAAAGCCAGCAGGTAGTTGAGCTAGGACAGCCACTTAAAATTAAGGATCCTACTTAAATCCAGATAATACACACACTAGACAAATGGAGGTAAGCCATGTATTTCTGTGGAAGAATAAGACTGGTTTATTAGGAACAGGTTTGCCAGCCTGCAGAAGCAATAAGACAGCACATGAATAGTAGTACTAAGTATTCGAACTTCCCCAATCAAACTTAAATTCAGTGTGATACAAGAATATGAACATCCCAGGAGAGAGATAAAATACAAAGCCTTACAGCCTACTCCTATGCATATTTGATTTCACAGAAATTTGCCAACAAATATCATTCTAAGGCTTTCCTACAATTTGTATTCCCTTTACCCGAGGTTATATTTAAAAGCTTTTACAACCTTGCCAAACTTTGCTGAGTTACAAGTACCAGCAAGGAAAGATCTGCAGCAGAATCCCTTTCAAAAGCACACAATTTTTTCGCCAGTTGTACAGAAAGCCCTTCCATTGGCAGAACATACTGCTGGGAAGAAAAGTCTTATCCAAGTATCTCATTTGAACAAGTTCCTTTATCTGAGTAGCTGAAGTAAAAAAATACTCCTTCACTCAGTACAAAAGGATACTCTCTATGACTCTTTTGTGAAATGTAGGAAGCTCAATCAACACCCCTGATTAGAATCAAGCCCTTGGATATTGTGTACCCCACTGCTACAAACTACCACTAGCATCTAACCCTAAGCCTGCTTTAGCAGCCCATTTAACCATTAATTATCACAGAATGCTCTCATCGCTAATGTATCGGAATGGATTTCATAAGGGCCTCTCACAACCATCATTAGCCACTGGGACTTGTAATTCTGAAGAGGTCAACAGAACGACGTATCGGCAGCCATCCTAACTCGCTTTCACATCATGATACATCTGGAGAACTCTTCGCACAGTCTCCACATATTTATCATCCGGTACAGGTTTCCTCTGGCTTCCTGGTTCCAGAAACTTCTTGATTGTGGGTATGTTACTGATCCTCGCTTTAAAAGCCTAAAAGCGGTAGGAAAAAGGAAGAGTACAGAAAGTGTAGTGTAGAATGGAAAACTGGAACTACAACGCAAGTTGCACTCACCTGACTTAACGCACTTCCCAGGGACTGCTCTTGCTGTCGAAGTGTATGACATTACATGCTAGCCACTGAGCACCACAGCCCTCTCTTCTACAGCTGTATCAGTTATTCAAGACAAGTATTTAAAATGCACTACTTTGCATGTTTACTCTGGTTGGAAGAAAGAAAGTGGCTCCACAGGCAGCACAGTATCAACACATCTTCTGCCCATACAATGACCGCAAGCAGGCTTTTGCACCCCACCCCTCTTTCAAAGAAGGTCAGGGAGAAACAATGCCCTTTACTGCCTCTCTGTCTTAAAGGCAGATTAGCAGAGGCCAAACATGCAGCCAGCTCACCAATGGTCAGGGTTTCCAGCCCATCATGAGTTTGCTTGGTCATCTCCACTTAAGAAAACCTGGCAAGATTTACTGTGTGCAGAAGGCCTTAACAAGTGATAAGGCTTCCCCAAACTGGTCTACAAATTGGTCATCTGTATTAGCAAGCCATGGCAGGAGACAGAGTGAAGAAAGTGTCCTTGAGCTATCGAGTCTCATGATTAGAAATGTCTTTCATAGTTTAAATTCAAAATTCTCTATTTTTATTTTTAATGTTGATATATTCTGAAAGATTTAAATATCTGCAATTCTGAAGCAACTTCACAGTTGCCTTGGTCTATTTTAGAAAGCTTTTCTTAGGGAGAATCCTTCATCTCTCTGGACTGTTGTGTGGGGGGGGGGACATGGGGGGAGAATGGGGTTTGCAGTTTATTTCATGGGTTAAAACTGCACACAAGCGCGACAGTCAGATGCTTAACCATGTTTAATCGTGAGTGGTCATAAGGAGTGTGTTACTGATATAAGGGCTGGGTTTTTGCTTTGTTAGTGGTAGCACAACACCAGCTGCAAGACTGAGCCCAGCCACGGGATATCTGCTTCTTTACCCACTTAAGGAGGGGGAAGCATCCACATAGGAACCACGTGGTAACTTGCTCATCTGCATCCATGCATTCTATCTGATAGCGACCATTAAGAACATTAGAGTGAAGTTGTTCTTATTTGGATTCCACTGTTATCCCGTTTCTTTTGTTTTTATATTTTTGTTAAAACAGGGTATAGAGAGCAGCTCCAGTTTGTGAAAGAGCTTGTTTGCCATACCTAAAAAAGCAAATTGGCCATTTCACTCCAATCACACCAATTCAATTCAACATTGCTCCCATAAAAGCCAACTCCTCATTAGCTGTAACTGGGTAGGTACACTCCAGAGAAGGGAAGTCATCAAGAACAAAAGGACTTCTCCAACTATCATCAATTCAATAGTTAGGGGTAAGGCTTAGAAGCACATTGCTGGTACAACTCTATTCCCAATTACCTATGAAAATGTCCCACTGATGTGGCTTACTTTCAGGTCCAAGATAGGATTGTGCTGATTGTGATAGATTATACTGGAAGTTTAGTTGGCTAGACTTCTTAACTATAACACTCGGTTTTCTAGAATACATTTCTACAGAAACCCATTTGTGGGTTCCATCTCTGAAACAGATGGAAAAGAAGCCTGCAAAATGGAAGAAAACTGGTTATCATGTACATTTTTCACACCTGCAATTGAGGGAATTCAGTCAGAACAGTGGAGGACTTTTCTTCCACCATTAAAATAGATTCGAGCAGGAATACATCAGCCATACTGAACTGGTTGCCAACAAGGAAATCTTGTCCATGATCCTTCAGCACCTGCAACATACTAGTATTAGTTAAACTGTGAGGAAAAGCCACTAAGTTCTGAACTTTGTCTTCAGAAAAGAAATTTCAGATCTCTGGATCAGAAAGCTGCTCTGGGTTGAGTCATGGCCCAATATAGAGTCCTACTGAAGAAAAGGACAAGGTCACTTGCTTAGCTTGTGAAGCAGTAAGTGTTGAGAAAGCGGATTCATTACCAAATCTTACAGACCAGTCATCGCTGAAGACAGCACACAGAACAAGAAAGCAGTGATAAAGAAAAAGCCAAGATAATTTCCATTTATGTTAGCCCTTGTCTCTCCTTCTAGCAGAGATTGGTCAGAATGAGACAGCAGCCTTCACATGGTATAATGGAACATTGCACTTCAAACTGAAGGTGTTGGATCACAAGTGACTGAATAAAGCAGATCGAATACAGAAAGTGAAGTGCTTGACCAACTTTAACGAATCATAAACAGATAGTCTCTTGGCTAAGTAGTCAGAAGTATAGAACAGCTGAGCAAATCAGGCAGACTTAAAAGAGACTGAGACTAGTACTACTAGAGAACATAGGAAACATATTAGTGCTTTTATGTGCACACTAAAGAAAGATTAAGAGTTGACTTATTAGAGTTCACTGGTCTGCTGAAGTCAGCAACCTCTTGGGTCCCCTCTTTGCACCTAAAGCTCTCTAATGTAGCCAGAACAGTCAATTAGCTGTGCACCCTAAATATGACACTTTATTGTGCTTACTGCTGTTCATTTATAGATAAATGGACTCTTGGCTTGCACTCTCCTCATTGGTATGATACTCTACTGTCAGTATTCAAGAAAAATATATATATATATACACACATCCTAGCCCAGGCTCTGTTGTGCTTCCTTTTGAAAGTTCTGCACATATGGAAAATTCAGAAACACGGTCTCCTATCTGTAATCAGAAGTCATTTCATTCTGCTGAGCATCTAGGTTAGGTCTTAGTTTTGCTACAAACAAGGAGCTTCTGTACACAGAAACCCAACTCAAACCCAATGATATGATAGGTAATATGGAACGCTATGGGTGAGGAGGCGGCAAACAGGAAACTCAAAATGGAATGTAAAGTCCTTAGAAGGTGGGTAGAGTTCATGAGATCACCGAACAATACATGGCAGGATCTGGAGCCCCACCTTGGCAGAAAGAGCTGCAAGGTGAGCAAGAGATTTGCGGCATGAGTGGAGTGCCACAGACCCCTCCCTTCCAGAAGCACCACCTGGAATGCTTCATTACTTACTGGGCAGGAGTTTGGTGAAAAACAGCTGCCAAGTCAGAAGAGAACAGAAGGGAAGAAGCTTCAGGTAGAAGAAATTGAAGGCAACTTTCCAAGGGATACACTCATCTGCCACCTGTCCCTTTCAAAGCCAATCTCCCTTTAAAATATGGTAGAAACAGCAGTTCCAAGAAACAGGCTGTAAGTTAAAAATTCCAGAAATGGCTTGCTTCAGCACATATCCATTATCCATCCATAAGCTGAAATAACCTACATTAAAAGATCATTTCAGTTCTGCCTTTTCCCTACCAAGATGTGATTCATTTCATTGTCCTTCTACCAGCTCAAAGTCCCCTTGTGCTTGAGCTCAGTCCTTTAAGAAAAACCTAGAGGATCATTTCAGGAACGTTTGAGACATGTACACACAGAAGCAAGCACTGGCTGAACACAAGCACGCATCTTTCAAAACATATTTCTCTCCCATGTATTTTTAAAACACAAGCACACTTAAAAAATTTAACTTGTGCAGCAGACTGTATCATGAATCCTTTTCACTGTCCAAAAGGATAGCTCACCGACACATACCTTTTCATAGGCAGGAAAGTATCTTTTCGTTGCTTTCTCAATTATTACGGCAAGTTGTGTCTCCTTATCCTCAGGTGACAAGAAAGGGAAGAGCAAAATAAACCCATTTAGGTCCATTGTTCCTTCCACGTACATGTCAATTCTAAGGAGACATATTTGCACACATACATTAGGTCTAATTCATGACATCCTTCATTAGTCAATGTGAGCAAACAAGAGTGGAAGCTTGTCGCTTTTCTGCTTGGAGTGGTAAAGATCAGGAGACCGTTCGGTGCTCCATGTGGCAGCACCTGCATCCCTGGCGGTTTTGCAGGTGGCCGGTGCTGCAAGCTGCTGCAGAGGGTCAGAGACAAAATGCTGATGTCGGGGGAATGCCTGAATCCAGTCTCTGACTGCAGGGGAAGCCCTGAGGCTATCTCCAAACTGCAGGAGTTCCCACTGCTATCTCTGATCACAAAATCCAGAAAAGCTTGGGCTGGATTAAACCGGAGGTGGAAGGCTGCCCTATTGACTCTGGAACCTTCCTCTACACCTGTGCGAGAAACACACACTCATTTCAGGCCGTCAGACCTATCTCCATGTGGCTCAGGGTTGGCAGAAGGTAACTCTAGATCCACTGGCAGATCTCTGGGTGATCTGCAGTAGTTTCCCAAAGAGTTCTGAGTTTCATTTCAGCTGTACTGCTGAAAAGAAGTTATGGGTAACCAGGAATGGGAAAACGGCAAGTCCCATCCAGTTCTTGTACTTGATCAATTCCTTGCCTCAGAATTGGTTAACTCTAAGAGTATGCCTGGTGCCCCAGGTTCCACTTAGTGGATCTCAAGGTTTTAGAAAAAGTGATGCGATCCCACATGCCTACCCCAGGAGTAGGACATCCCCTAGGCCACAAGAAACTGGGGCAGGCGTGACAGACAGGACCCTAACTTTAGACTAGCTAGATGTATCTGTTACAGTACAGTGCTCTCTCCTTCAGGTCCTTCCCGTAGAGGTTGTGTTTTGCTGCAATGTAGTGGAGAATGGCTCGGGTCTGCACCATCTTCATCTCATCTATTTCTACCATAGGCACTTGCTGAAAGAGCAGGAATCCATCTTTTGGAAAAATAAAAATGGAGCACAAGTAAAAAAAATTTGTTTAGAAATTAATTTAAGCTGATATAATCTGATACGATCTTATCAGAGTTCAAGAGGAAATGGTTCATTACAAGAGTGAGGAGTATATAATTCTATAAGTACATGCACAAAGAAAACAAAATGCACTTTTAATTTAGACAAGCAAGGGATTTTGGCATGTTTACAACCACCTAGCAATTGTTTGCAGGTGAGCTAAATAATGTCATTCGGTTAACTACAGTGGCTTTAAGAAACTTGACAAGTTAGCATTGTCCCGATGGTTATAGAAAAGGCATGTCCTTGGGTTTTCAACTGTTGAAGTGCTGTGTTCCCACTTGTCCAAATCACAGAAGAGATAGACCAGTAAGAGGATTTCACACTCTATTAAACTCAGATCCAATCAGTCATTTTCTGATTATCATACATCAAACTGGTGTTTGTCATCCAAACCCCGTAAATGCAAGTTATGACTTGATCTTTGTTTGAAAAATGAACAGGTACTGCTATTCAGTGAACTTGAACTAGCATCCAGTGTATAGCACTAACTATACATCTTTCAAAGGGTGACACAAAATGTGGGTGTTCTGTCATGATTCCAAACCATAGTATATGTTTGACGCTGACATATATGCATATAGTCTAAGGATGCCCCGGCCACCTGAGATCTACATCAAACAGTGATAAATGGTTCTCCAGCCCTAAGACAAACTACACAATGGTTGCTGATCATCCTCAAATATAACATAACCAAGAAGTCTCATGGTTATTATATCCTGTCTTTGGCTTAAGTAGATACCAGAATAGTCGGTCAACCATTACTAGCTGTCATGGTTGTGTGATCACTGACCAGCTACACTTTTCTTCACTTATTGTAACGCACAAACAGGGAACATAAGAATAATCAGGTGGATCCTCTTTTTTTGCCAAGAGCAAACAAAATATTTATCACTGCAAGGCTTCAACCTCAAATAACACCCACCATCAACCAGAAATAATAGCTGAACTCTAAGTAATGATGACAAACAGTTCTATTTCTTGACTTCATCCTCAGTAGGTGAGGCTGTGGACATGCTAAACTGCTGTCTGGTTGGGACAGCCGACTGGATGAGTGATGACAAACAGAAACTCAATCAAGTCAAGGCTGAGATGCTGTTGGAGGGTGATTCCTTTGACCAGATGGGAGGTGTTCAACCTGTTCTAGATGGGGTTGCACTCTCTCTGAAGGTGCAGGTTTGTCGCTCGGGGGTGCTCCTTGAGCTTTGTTACTTAAGGTAGCTCAGAATGCCTTCTACCAGCTTTGGTTTGTGGCCCAGCTACACCCCTATCTGGGCAGGCAGAGCCTGGCTGAAAGTTTACACTCCAGCAATCTCTAAACTGGATTACTGCAATGCACTCTACATGGTGCTGCCCTTGAAGACTGCTCAGAAGCTGCATTCTGCACCAGCCAATTAATTTGTGGGACCTGCTGATCCAAACATGCAAGAGTGGTTCTGGCCGACTTGCACTGGCTGCCTGTATGCTTCTGGTCCCAATTCAAGGTGCTGTTGTAACTTCTAAAGCCTTACATGGCTTAGGACTGCAATACCTGTTGGAGCGCCTCTCCCAGCTACGATATACTTGGACATTATGCTCACACTGCCCAGCCTTCTTCTGAGTGCTGACTCTGAGGGAAGTGTGCAGAGTGGCAACAAGGGAGAGGGCTTCCTCTCTGGCTGCCCCCACCCATCTGTGGAACAGCCTCCCCACAACAGGAGGTTCAGTCCTGATGGCACCGACTCTGTCTTCCTTCCAGCACCAGGTTAAGAAGCCTTTAAAGACTTGCTTGGTCACCCACGGGCGAATTACCCATTACAGATTACCCATCCCTGGTGTTTCTTGCAGAGTTTCTCTTTCTTACTGTCTTTTTTAGCTGTCTTTTTTAGCTATTTTTATTATTCTTATTGCATTTTTATTGTCTGCTTGTATGGATTCTGTAAACACAGAGAACTTCAGCTGTTGGTGGTATAGAGATGAAATACAGAAGAAAATAGAACATGGCATGTTCTTAACACAGATAATTTTTGTCTATTTCAAGTAGATATAGAGTAAAACCCTTATTTGTGCATTCACAATAGAAAATCATTGTTTAAAAACATGCCACGTGTACTACAGAACTTTGCAGCATATTGGGAAAGTAATTTAAAGGAGCTTAAGAGATAAAATTGAAATCAAGACAGGAAAGGAACCTGTCAGGCACCAAGAGAAGTATCCATGAGCATATGTGAGCTCAGAGGCACCATGCTGGGGACCCCAGAACCTGGCCTGCACGGCAGAGGCCAAGGTGTCCCCTGCACCGGGCAGCGGATGGATCCTGAGCACTAGCTGTGTTCAAAATTGCTTCCTTCTTTTTACTCTGTCAAATCCTTACGGTGTGGCAGCTCAGTTGTACACAGAAGGGCTCACATTTGATCCTGGCATCTCCAGGCAAGACAGAAAAATCTTCCATCTGAAACCCTGCAGAGCAGCTCCCAATCAGCGTAGGAAACGCTCAGCAAGAGGGACCAGTGATCTTTTCTGCATGAGGCTAGTATTCTGTTGTGTCACTGACTTCTGTTGTGTCAGTAAATTCTGTTTCTCACTGTTTTCAGGCACTCTTAGTCAACCTCAAAACACTCCCAGTTTCACATCTGTTTTTTGAGAGCACTTTGGTGGGCTGAGGTTAGAGTGGAGGAAATCTACTATTTTCTGGCATTGTGAAACAAAATGCACACTCCACTAGCAGAAATACTGCATTATACTCACACATTACTGTATTATAAACATAGAAACAGAGCAAGTCAGAAGGGGCCTCCCAGGCCATCTAGTCTGACCCCCAGCTCCAGCCGGCTCCGCTCATGACATGCCCACCTTAAACAAGTACAATGCATTATAACACCACGCTACCTAGCAGAAAGAAGAGAAGCTGTATGGCTTTATGTAATGCTTTAACCTTAATTCTGCAATGAAACCAGAAGCAGGAACAGCAGGATTTTTAAAGAGCCTCGTCTAGAAAAGCTCTCAGGATAGGGCAGTTTCCTAAGAGCAAGGCCTAGCAGTTGCACTGCTTCTATGCAAGGAGGAACCACAGCAATGGAAGAGCTGGCCACATCTGCACAGATGTTGATTTACGGCCCATCATTTTGTTCTGCATTGTCAAACTCATCTTCTCCACTCACACTTCTTTCCTTGTGCTCTTCTGAGTTAGGAAGCCTGTGGGCAGGGCTTGTGTCTCACATTTAGCAATGTCCCTTGCCTGACAGACAGCACAACACATTTCCTAAATGGGAAAGTCCAGTTCATCCCAACAAAACTACAAGTTTCTAGTACAGCTTTGGAGCGATCTGGGCTTCAGCCAGAGTCCCCTCTTAGGAGGGCCTTGGGCAAATACCTAAGCAAAAGGGATTGCTTATTTTCTTAGCAATTTATTTCATTCCAAGAACTATTTAACAGAACAAATCAAGGCCTTTCTGTTAATAGTTTTGCATACTGAGAAACTGGAGAATCAAGACATTTGGAATGAGTGCTGACTGAAAAGCAGGCATGGCTTGAAGGTAGCATGTGAACCATTCCCCTTCAGCCAGCCAACCAGCCATCTCCAAAATTAAGCTTGTGTACAGCACTGCACATGATCCACGGGGAAGCGTTTGACAGTCAAAAGCTCAACCCTGGGTAGCACAAGAGGACGGCAATGACCGGCTGGCCCTGGGAGCAGACACTCGGAACAAGTTAATTCATTGGCACAGGAGGATGTGTCAATTGGGCCCAGCACACAAAAGGAAGCAATCAAGAGCCAATCCAACCACACAAGCAAATGTGCTGCAAGTTGAGAACGCGGGGGAAAACAGTTGTGCAACAGAATCAGCACATGTCAGCTCAAAATTCAACCACTCCCATGCCCAGTTGGCCCCTTTTCAGCAATTCTCAAAGGAGAGATAAACAAAGGCCAAACTGCAAGCCAGATGTACAGCGAAGCAAAGATACCACCATGGATCTGCACTGGCTGCTCAGTAGGTTGGGCTCCCTGCCTTAGTCTGCAATGGTTGGACCCTAAGGCTGCCACTGGAATTCTGCTGACGGGGTGCTACCACTGACAGAAGGGCGAGGGGGGGTCAGTATCTATCATTCTCTCTTCAGCCTCCTGTGTTTTCAAAAGGTGGGGAGACCCTCTGGAGGAGCACGTGAAGTGGCGCTGTGGGGTGCCTCCCCTGAAGGCCAGTCCCATCTCATTCATGGGAAGGGGCCACACCGGAGCCAAACCATGTGTCTTTTTACTACTTCATGGTGTTCATGGAGATGTGCTACACTGGACTGCTCCAGCTTTGGTGCCTTCCAGATGTTTTCTCTCCCAACTCCCAGCATTCCTGACCAGTTGCCCTGCTGGCTGGGGCTGATGGGAGCTGAAGATCAGAACACCTGGAGGGCATCAGGACTGGGAAAGCTATACCAGACTGAAGTATGAAGTGATCAGCTCTTTACACGTGTATCTCTGCTTCACATCAAAGAGTGTAATTCTCCATTGTTCCAGGGCCCTGCCTTCACTTTGCACCCGCCAAAACAGCCATTCCATTCAATTTGTCTGGCCAAAAATCTGCCATTTAATCACAGCCTTACCTTGAAGCAGCTTCTCAAATTGCTCTCTTGTCTCCAAAACTTCTTCTTCAAACTACAAGACAGAAAATTGCACAAGGCATTGCTCCAGCATTCTAGAAACCAAATCATAACTGAATGTGATCCAGGAATAGGCACCCAGGAGGCCGCAAATATTTCCACATGCAACTGAACCATTCTTATCAAGGTTTGTGCGTTTCCAGTAGTGAGTCTGATTTCTACATCTAGTGAAATGCTAGGAAAGATTGGCTGCTTGCTTCACTTCTGATGAGATCTTTTATACTGCATTTTGATACTGAGTGACTTTTTAACTGAACATACAAAACAAGCATAGGAGGAGAACAAGAAACAAAACAAACAGTATTACAGCATAGTCATTCAAGATTCTTGACATCTAGTTTCTTCCCCTTTCCAGCAACAAAATATTTTTGAGATACTGGTTTTGGATTAGCAAACTGAAAGCCAAATCCATACACAGGGTCAGAGTTGATAACAAAATATGCCTGCCTCAAGGCAAAAGAAATCAAACATTATATTCGTTTAGTGCATCTAACATGGTGCCACTTTGTTTTTTTAAATGCTATCTTGCCATTCTGACCCAACAGGTCCACTCAAGGCAGCTTGCAATAAAGAGATCAAATTAAGACACAATTAAAGTTTCACACAGCACCTTCCAAATCCCCAACGCTTTAGTACACTTCATAAGCATTCAGTAAAATTCTGATCAATCATTTTAATACTTCTATGCTCTTACGGGTGAATGCGTAAATTTAAAAGTGCACTTGTAAAACATTTCCAGTTGAGTGATCAGCATCAAACACATGAGGTAGTACAGATGGATTCAAACTCCCATATAGATTCAGAAAAACAGTGCTGCAAAAGTAATTTAAATATAGTGTCACCTTAGCTTACTCTCACGCTGTATGATGGCTTGGGTAAAATATTCCTTACAATAACTGCACAGAGGTGGAGGGAAGTGTCCATGGCCAGCTGAAGATCTACAGGCTTTGTCCAAGCTCAGGACAACTGTATGGGCTCTGCCAAGGCCTCTGACATATTTCCCATTGTTATGATACATTAAAACATTGGCCAGTGGCTGAACTTAAATAGAAAAGTTTTTCAGGTTATGAGAAAAACAGATAATTCTGTCCGAACACTACCGTTTACTTTTTTTGACATATATTTAACTACACTTATTCTTGCCAAAGACAAAGTACAGGATTCCATTTTATCTTCAAAACAATCCTGTAGGTTAGGTTAGGCTGAGAGATACTGGCTGCCCATGATCACCCTTCAAAATTCATGTCTGGGCATGGACTTCAGCCCACTTACCTATGGCCCTAGTCCAATAATCTCACCACCATGCTGAACAGGCTTCTAATATGTTAATGTACATGCAGGTGATGTTAAGACTGAGTGCATATATTCTGTAACTGCAACCCTCCATACTACATAAATGCTACCTAGGTAGCACTAACCACTCCCTACGGAGAGGCCGTGCAGTGCAACGCATCCGGCCTTTAGATCACCATGTTGAGAGCTCAGAAACTGGCCATCTCTATTGGGAAGCAACACGACAGAACTGAAATTTTAACTTGGAGCCCATCCACCCTGCTCTACCATGTAGTTGGACAGTTCATTCAGATTCCTCCATACGGAGGAGAAGCAAGTAAGAGTCAAGTCTGCCAATCTGATAATAAATAATGTTATCAGACTAGCTAAGCCACAGCAGTCGTTTGAGATATCGCTGACTTCAGGAACAGTTTGTATGGGCTGGAAGAGAACAGAAGCTTCTAGGAGCTACCAGTGGTGTGGGGAAGTAAAAATGCATCACTACTCCGGAAATCTGTTCATCAGCATTAGATTTGGGAAACAGGGCCAAGCTATGAAATAAACTGTAGGCTACAAATATAGATGGGAGACTAATGCTAATTCAAGATGCCCCCTCCAAATCAGTAATTATTGGATTAGATGGATAATTTGTATTCATTTGGTGAGTAGACATGTATTCCACCTTCAGAATAGTCTTATCTGTGAATACATTTGCATTTACTCATGCCAATTGCAACACGACAGAACTGAAAAAATATGCAAAGAAACTTAATATTCTATTGAAAAACATGCATGCAGGTTTGTTTTTTTTAAATACAGACCTCCACGCCAGCTGCTGCTAGCAGCCATCGTATTGACTCCATTTTGCCTCTTCCATCAAAGTAATACAGCTTGGGCTTTCCAGCCATAATTTCAGTTTCTTGATTTCCTAAATGCAAAAAATAAAAAATAAAAACCACAGAAGTGTTTGTGTTCCCTGCAAAAATGAAATTCAACTTTGTTAACTAATATATATAGGTAGGGTCATTTATAACACAATCCTATGCAATGTTTATATCTGAATCTCAATATATTCAATGGGGCACATGCTTTGGATTGATTTCCACATATCCTTTTGATTTTATTTCCCCAGAAAAAGACAATGTAGAGCAGAACACATTATCATCTGGCAATCGAAGGATAAGCCTCAGTTACAACATACAGCTATCATATAGGCTATTTTACACCCAATCGCATTCAGAAAAAACTACCAAGATTGCATCATTGCCCTTCAACTGATGGGGCTAGCGAGGGGACACCTACTGCTGTGGTTATGGTGAGACTCCTCTCAAGACCTTCAAACCCAGGCAGTGTCATATGGGAGAATATGGTCTCTGAAGTACCCAGATTCCAAGCTGTACAGGGCTTGATGGGCTGTAATCTCTGGTGTGAGCTGTGCCCAGAAACAGACAAATCATCCAGTGAAGCTATAATCGAATGTACCCAAGCTGCGCCTGACTGTGGCCACACTGGACATCTCTAGGAAGAGAAGCCACTGGTGTACTGGCTTCTGCTGTGCAAAAGCCCACCTAGCCAGCAGTGAAGCCCAGGCAACCAGGCTCAGGGCTGAATCCAGCTGTCCTGCCAAATGGAGTTTACATCAGGGAAATGACGTGGATGGCTTCTAGACATGCTATCTCTGAGCTGATCAGGATGCCACCACCATAATCAATAACAGTCAAAACAACACCACTTGGTGGGAAAGATATAGCCCACAATTTGAGGAGATTCAGGGGAAATGGCCTCTGAAAAGTTGTTCTTCTCATCTGGATAAAACCATGCAGTTGGGTTTCATCAGCATATCCATAGTAATGGGCAGTAGTCATGTGTATATTGTTAAACAGTGTGACAAGCAGGACAGAAGCGTGCAGAAAGCTCAGGGTGTTGAACAGGTATGCCCCAGCATTTCAGAATTTTACTTTCTGAATTTGCCCCTCTAAGAAGGGCCAGATCTGCCACAGGGCAATGCCACTAAGACCCCATCCAACACAGAGCAAAAGAGAAGGGGGATGTTCAAAGATTGAAGTTGCCTATTTTTGCCTCTAAGAAGTCTGGCTTTGCAGCTAAGTTGGGCTATTTGCTCGGTTAAGAATTCTGGGAGGTCTCTGCTTCTTGACTTAAAAAATAATTGCCATCTCTGTATTAGGGAATTAGGTTAATTTATTATGATATTTACTGAAAGAAACCTTGATCGTGGTTTATTCTTGGCTTAAGCCACGGCTTATTGAAACAAACTCAATTGCAGTTTGGCCCAATTTGGACAGAACGACAAACTGATAATATAAATGAGGAACTGAATGCTCCAATCTCCTCAAAGCAGGCTATGCTAGTATAACACAGAGCAGTGAGAAGTCTCCACACCGAAGGCTTATCCCCCTAACATGCATCTAAACTGGGGCTCTGAGGGCGCTCCCAGATTAGGATGTATTACACTATAGACCTGCCTAATTCAGAGCAGTTTACAGGAGGCTCAGTCATAATCATCTTTCACTCATAACCCTCCCACGTTTTTCCTTCCAGTTCTTCCATCTTTTTTCTTATCATGAACAGTGTGTTAAGGAAGAAAACTAAATAAGTGGGCAATGACTTCCAATGACATAGCACTAAGACTTATTTACTTAAAACATTTAAGTAATATGCTGTCCAATTGTTCTACAGCACTAGCCTTCTGCATCTGGAACCATTTCAAGTCAGATCATTCCTTTAGCTTAGCTAAACTATCTCAGGATTATCTACTCCCTAAAGTGACTTTCTAAAGATTCAAGGCAGGGAGCTTTTGCAGCCATGCCTTTAACTGAGGGGCAAAGGTACTGAACCATCTCTATGCAAGACACAGCCTCAACAACCACACCTTGGCCCATTTATTTAAGCATTCAGGGTGCTTATTCAATCCAACCCAAGGGTACAATTTCAACCTCCTTGTGAGCTGCCTCTTCGGCAATCAGTGCAATGGGTGTGGCATAGAAATGTTATAAATAAACAAACAAACCTATGACCCCACAAAGTTGCTGCCACTAAATCTGAATCACCAGCCACAGCCACAAGATCTATGGCTTTTAGACCCTAAAACATTAACCCTTAAGTTGTGTTGCACTGAAAATAAAGCATTTATCTTCTCATTCCTAAACATTCCTTTCTGTAACTTTAAGTCCTATAGGTTTCAAGAATGCTTAGCAATTTGTCCAAGCTGAACTAACACTCTTAGAAAAACAAACACAGTCAATTCATGAGTTTCTCTAGTATGCAGCTGAAGGAATTCCAAGAGAAATTATGTGTCTACATATAAACATAGTTTCCTATGCAGGAGGAAAGTAACTTGATAAGCAGGAGGAAAGTAACTTCAGAAGAACTGCAAAGAGACTTGAATCATTGGAACGAACAATCAAATATCAGGACATACATGAAAATTAGGAAAAAATGACCCAGACATCAGATTTCAATCACCTAATTTCAAGGAAACTAGACAAAGGTTAACCAAAATTGCATATGCAGTTGTTTCCTGTTTTAAACTGTTGTGCTTGGATAGGAAGAATAGAAAGGGAAATTAAGCTCTCACTTAGAAATGAAATGGTAATTCATGAAATTCTGTAACAAAAAGGAAGAAACCATCAATATTTGCTGAAAGAGCAGGGTGGCAAGAGGAAATGTGTACAGTTTTCATGTTGCACTTTAACCAGTGGGTCATGTCTTGTTTTTGTTCTTAATGGAGAGTTCAGGAACATTAAGAAGTCAAGCTCAACACATTTGTTTCAAGGAAAGGAATCTGATTATATGTTCTCTCTCCCTCACCCCAATAGGTGGGAAAATGGGAGAGGTGATCCTTAGCAGTAAAGAACACAACAGAAGGTCTCTTCTGGATCATATTTTTCCATTCCATCTGCTTAGAGAATCTTTGGACTAGTACAGCAGAATATAGGTTGAATAAATGCATAAATAAATAAACATGAAACTTATTGGGGAAAGAGACATAGAACCACAGACTGCAACCCTCCACAACAGGGTGGCAATAAATCACTGCAAGGTGCTTGCAAGGGACCAGGTGTTGCTTTCAGGCTTTGCTCATGGGCTTCCACCCACTGTCAGAGCAGGGTGCTGGACCACATGGATGTGGAATGATCCACCAGGGTTCTTCTGACATGGGGTCCAAATCCAAGCTCCTGCAATACGGACTGTGATTTAGGAACACATTTTCAGTATCATGGCTTGAGACAGATCCAGGATTTTTTTTTTCAACTATCGTTACTAATTCTATTGGTTTTGGAATAAATACCAGTGGAAAAGAAGTTACCTTGCCTCCATACCTTTATCTTCTTGCCTTCTGGGGGAAACAGATAAGGCAAATAAATGATCTCCACTCATCCTTAAACTCATAGCTCAGATCAGGCTTGTGCCAGTTTTTGGTTTTTAAACAGTAGTCTAAAGGTAGCACAGAACAGACTGAGTATAACTAATGGCAACAAAGCTGGCTGAATTTCTGTTGAAGGAGGCGTAAGGTCCTGGCACAGCCTGCTCTCAAGTGCTGGCTGACCTTGTGGGATTTTAAGAATCAAGGACACAGATCAGCAGCCTGGCTACAGAAAAGCCACATGGGTGGGCTGCCGGGTCAACCCAGCCACAAGAAAAAACTTGCTTTATTAATATGACTTGTTATTTTTTTTGGAGAAGTATGAACGAAAAAAGAAAGCATAATAAGTTAGTATCTTTGAATACATCAAGTTCATTAGATATAAGACCCTGAAATTTGTTGAATACAACAGAACACTTTAAGATAGAGCAAAGATAGAACATTAGTCTCAGGGTAAACTAATAAAGTGTTTTAAAATCAGGCAGCAATTTATCTGTTTTTGAATCTGTATAAAAGCCACCCATTAGGATCAGGCTCTCTGGGTGACTATTCGAATAAAAATGTCAATCTTAACATTAAATAATATTGATACAATATTACAATAAATGAACAAGATAATTAGTGCACGTGTGAGACAACCAGGGCATTTTGTAACCAAGTTTGTTCTCCAGTGCTTGGAATAATCGATCACTTGATTTGTTCCAGAGTCATTTCACAGCATACAACATTTACTGCTCTTACAACAGCATCGCACACCTCAACAGCATTAAAACGGGAAGGACAAGCTACATTCAGACATTCTCGTTTTTTCAAATGACACGCTAACTATTCCACTGCTGTAACGGTGAATGCTGTAGCCAGAATTATTGGCGGAAGGAACGGAACAAGAGCTGGGCAGAAAATTCCACCAAGAAAACCGCTCTTCCAAAACTGCGCCCACACATACCCATCCCAAGAGCTACGTAAAAGCTGCCGAGCGCACCCGATGGATTTTAGCGTGCGCGACAAGCAAGCCCGAGGAAGCCTGCGGCGCTGCGACCCTCGCCAGCTGCACTGGGAGCGCAAGAACGGCCTGCTGAAAAGGCGCAGCGTCTCGCTCAGCGACCACCATTCCGCCTCGCCCAGGAAGATCCTCCGTCCAAGTCTGCGAGTCATCACAGCAAGCAGAGGAGGCGAGGCGAGGCGAGCATCAGCAAACTCTAGAGTAGCTTTACTACCTCAAGGCAATAGCGACCTGAAGGTTACAAAGCACGACTGGCTGAGCTAACGCTACAAGGAGAGCAGTCCCGCACGGCGCCGTTCCCGCTGCCTCATCTGCTACCCCCAGGAGATTAACAGCGGGACAAAACGGGCGCTTCGGGTTGCTCGGGGTGCGCATCGCCCCTCCACCGACGAACCCACCTTCGCCGGCGCCACAGAACAACCCTCCGCACGCTGCACCCAGGCAACGCCTCCTCCCTCTTTTTATGCACAGCCAAGAGGGCGTGGACTAGACGAGGGGACCAGCCAGTATTCGGGCGTGAGATTTGCATGTCGCTCAAAGCCTCCTGGGAACACGCTCGGCACTTCCAGAAAGCGAATTTTCTCTTCCACTTTTATCTGTTCGGTTCTCTTTTTCTGATTTTTCGATTTGGCTTGACTTTATATTTGCACAACTAGACACACTAACTTGGTCACAATAACTTTAATTCTGGAACATATCGAGAGGTTTATATAGTAAGCTCGGAGAAGAGTATAGTGGATGTGAGGGCGATCTGGCTGCGACATCTGTCACCCCATTGATCGCCAGGGTTGATTCGGCTGATCTGGCTGGCTAGGCGGGTGTCCCCTTCCTCCCTCACCGCTCCATGTGCGTCCCTCCCGAAGCTGCGCGCTCGGTGGAAGAGGACGACCATCCCAGATAGAAGGAGTGTACCGTTCTTCGGTCAAGGGTATACGATAGCTGCGCTCCCCTGCTAGAACCTCCAAACAAGCTCTCAAGGTCCATTTGTAGGAGAACGTAGGGTAGTCAAGCTTCCAAGACTCCAGACACATCCAAGTGAGGCGCTGCACGTGGCAGTTTGCCATTCTTTTCACTACGAAAAGGCCTTTCTTTCCATGCCTCGCTAGAAACAACCGAGGTTGTTTTCAGAAGTTGTTTCGCTATGCAGCAAAATCCTGCACCGCAAGCTGCAGCGGGCTGGCTGGCTTCTTTTCCTTGCTGTTTTATCTTTCTTTTTGTTTTAAAAGAGGGGGAATCTCAGCGAACGGGGAGGGATGAAATGATAGACCTGGATAGAGTGAAGAGCAGATGTATGTTTATCAAAAGTGGTGGGGGTGGTGCTGATGAATTGGGAGGGCGGGGAGGGGGGGCTGGGGAAGAAATAAGCATTCTGTGCAGCGATCCATCTTTCTAGGAAAGCTCGTATGCAGACAACATCCCAAGGAATTCAAGGGATTTCGTTACTGCTCCTTAGACTTCAGGACTTTTGACTTTTCTTTATTTTCTCACCAATGGATTTTTAACAACTCTGCCTACAGAATTGTGCGTTCCTCTTGTGCGCCTGAGCTATAAACGAGCGGAAACAAGCGGGACAGGCACGTGTAAAGCGAGCAAATCATCGTCAGAAACAAGCAAGACAGACGCATTCAGACATTCATTGTCTGCATCCTGCAATAGTAAAGGCTACTTGCCTTTCATTAAGGACTCCATCTAGCTGACCATGCTGTAGAGTCTGCTTCATTTTGGATCTTGGAACTTCTGTTATTCAATCTGGTAATGCATTTTATATATTTTTTTACACTAAAATTTTATTTGCATGAACTTTGCAAATACCAAGCCAATTATTGTACTGTGAATGCAATCTTTCTTCAGAGGTCAAGAACCTGGTAATTTATTCAAAGGGATGTGAGAGGAGTGTAGGTCAAAGAAAATGGAGTTTGCTGCAAAGGCCCTCTACTTGTATGCATAACCATGGAGATTTTAAAACCCTGCATTCAGATTCAGCTCTGCTGCTCCATCGCACACACCCCGGTGGAGAGATGCGAAGGGAACTCATGCGCTTACAAGAGTGGCCTTTCAGCCCCCTGTTTGGATTGCGTATCTGCATGGAATGTGTGTGTCAGGAGGGTGTTACATATGTTTGTTCTGGTGGGAAGAGGGGACTCAGTTAATGCCACGCCTAGTAGGGTGTTTCCAGAGAAAGCAATCCTAGTGCTGCCAATCAAAACACATTGTGCAACTGTGTGCAACTTCCTCCTTAATGCGTTTGAGAAAAAGATTTTGAAAATACTGGGAAGCCACTGCAGGGTTATGAATAGACGATGCTGATGCCTGAACACCGGCCCCCCACCCCCAAGAATCAGGGAAGGTAATAGTCCGTAAAAACCTTATCAGAAGCACTCTTGGAGCAACTTCAATCAAACCATTCATACCCAACTTTGACTGGGAACATAATTTTGTGCCAAACACTATTAGCCTTTCCAACAAGCTGGGAACTATCCTATCACTTACATCTTATAGCCATAATACTTCTCTGTCAGCCTGCATCCCACCATGTTTAACCCCACATTTCCTGCATTACCTTCCTCCCACTGCTTTCCTACCTTCTGAGGTATACACCACCCTTCATCAGCCAATAGACTTCTTAAGCAGAGAGCTTGGCATTGCTCCTATATATTTGCCATTTTCCGATTTTTCCCATAGATCAAGGACAGGGAGCTGAGGCGCAACAGGTTTTAGTTTAAACCCTTGTTTCAAGCATAATTTGATCACTTATTTGAACACACGTGATTTGCTCATATGCTAACTAGCAAGATAGAGACAAGAGGTACCTGCAACAAAATGTCTCAGTGTGGATTGATCCTGTTTCCTGTTTTCCCACCTCCTTTCCTCTGTGTTCTTGACTCATTCAGCATCAATAAACAGTCTTTTAATACTACACAGAACCTACCTGAAAATAGCATCTTACAATCTAGTCCAGTGGTTTTCAACCTTTCCACAGTTGGAAACCTGCTGAAACAGGAAAACCACCTCAGGGACCACTGAGACAGAAACAAAAAGCAGTATTCTTTGTATACAGTATTTTTTGTATTAGTTTCCAGGCACAATACTAAAAAGAAGGAAAGGAAAGGAAAGGAAAGGAAAGGGTCCAAAACAACCTGAAACTGAGCAACAAAAATGTCAACAAAAGACAAAACACTAAAATTGACTCACCGTGGCTCCTAGCCGTCTCCCACTGAGCCATCTCTCCCCTTCCTGGCGCTCCCAGTGGCACTGCCACACACCCCGCAAACACAATGCCCACTGAGGAAGAGGTGGTGGAACACAGCCAGGCCCTGTGCTGTCTGCGGTGAGCGGGCTGTGGTCCTTCCATGGACTGGTGGGAAATATCCCACAGACTGGTGGTGGTCCACAGTCCAGTGGGCTAGACCACTGATCTAGCCCACATTGAAGCAGTTGGCTAAAAATTTTGTGGAAAATTTGGCCAAAGATTTTACAGAAATCAAGATAAGGTACATCCACCATGTGCCCTCAGCCCATTAAATTTTGATCTAGAACTGGGTTTGACTCCTCAGACCTAACAATGCTTAGTGGGTCATTTGAGCTGAGACTACTTACTAGGCAGCAGAAAAGCCCATGTTGTTTCTTAGGTATCAATAGATACGGCCTTGCATTATTGACAGTAAGTTAGTTATGTCTACTCCAACGCTTAAACTTATCATTACATACAGCCATAAGTTACATTGCCTGAGACTTGCAAGGAAAATTAACTCCCCTTGCTCCAATGAATCTCCCTACTGGAAAACTATGGGGGAAAGATTCTCCCATAGCTTTAAGTTTGTTGAGGAAGTGATAAAAAATGTCTTCTAGCTGCTCGCTTTCATTAATTTATTGATAAATCATCCGAGTTACTCCTTACACTATATAGGAAGAATCCTCAACTTGGCACCCTCTGTACATGTTGCGCTAGAACCCCAGTATCATTGAAAGGCAGGGTCCATGGCTCACTGGGGATGGGAGGGGGGGTGCCATAGAAGATGCTAGGAGTCATTCCAGAAAAAGTCTCCTAATGCTTCCAAAACATAGTGTGCAGCTCCTG